TATACCTCATGTATTCATCAGGTATATTACTGTTGATTTACTTAAATATTAGTGTCCTTATGTGTTCATGGTGCATTTAGGAATGGTCATAGTAATTATAAAATCAAAGTATGACGTATGTTATTTTGGGGTGTGGGGTTTGTGTTCTCTACATAATTTTAGCACCCCCAGTGTTTGGCCTCTAGTTGCGCCTATGGGCCGTGGGTAGGCAGGGGCGGTTCCATGGTTGGGGGGAGGCTAATAGTTATAACTTTCACAAAACTTATAATAATAACAAATACAAAAAATGTTTACAACACAAATTCAAGTCTTCTATTTTTTGAATTTGCAAAAACATCTATAATACTATGATCGAATACATTCACTTTATTATGCACATTGATGAGACATAAAGCCGATATTCTGTCTTCGGGCATCCATCCCCCAGTGCCCCCCCTCTGGAACCACCCCCGTGCGTAGGCACTCGTGGTAAAACTGAAATAACGATATATTTAATATATTTTGCGTGTATGATACCTACCCTACCTGTAATGTACGCACTATTTTACGCAGTCGTATATATTATGTACATATGGGTAATAATATAACGTCGTGCAATATAGGGGCGCATGTAAATTGCACCAATTGTGGCCTTTTTAGACCTTTTTTATGTAAATTCCACCAAGACTTTTTCTTTACCTGAAAAAAAATGTGAATTCCACCGGTACGTTTTAACCACCTGAAAAAAAAATGTTATTTCCACCGGTATGTTTTCACTACCTGAAAAAAAATGTAAATTCCACCAGTTAGGCGACTTTTTTACACTTTTTTTAACTATATATAGGTAATAGGTATATATATATATATATATATATATATATATATATTATATTATATAATGTGATATTGTTTTCTTGGCGAAAATAACTAGAGTGCAGTGTTTCTGTAATTAAATAATTATAATTTATAATTTTATTAATCTTACAATATATTATTATTACTATTACATTAAATAATTATTGTACGCACTCGTTTCACGATATGGCATTTATCTGCAGCAGTTGAGAAATCGTTTAGATAAGACAAGCGACATTTGATAAATTGACAGTTGAAAATAGTTGTAATCTGTGGATTTTACCATCAGTTTATGTTTAATATAACACTTGTAACCTACAGTACAGCCAGTGTTGTAAAAAATACTTTTAAAAAGTATTTGAGTAATTACTCAAATACTTATAAAATAAAGTATTTAAAATACCACCCAAATACTATCTATTGTAAAGTATTTGAGTATTACTCAAATACTTTTTAGAAGTATTTGAAATAATTTTCAAATACAAAACAAAAAAATACGTACGTATACGACATACCTTACCTACCTAATGTTCGTATTATATTTCGCTATGATAATATACTATATTGGTAGGTAGTAGGTACCGAAACGTACCGTTCCGATCGTCGTCGAGCGTCGACTAAACAGACGGTTTCTCAGAGTAACTAATATTAATTAGCTATTAATAGACGAAAACTAAAACCAATATAGAATTGTTCATAAATGATAAATATATATTATAATATTATTAAGACATTATTATTATTTGACAATGAATAAAAAGTTGAAGGAATAAAAAAAGTATTCAATAAAATAGTATTCAATAGTAAAAAAATGTATTTAAAATACCGTTCAAATACTTCAAAAATAAAAGTATTTGAAAAAGTATTCAATACGGAAAAAAGTATTTGAATACTTTTACTCAAATACTTTACAACACTGAGTACAGCAGAGCAACATCCACTTACCCACCTTTTTTTTCTTGCTTCACTTGAAGCCAACTCTTTTAGTACTTCATTTAAGTGTAATATGATTTTAACAAATCATTCTCAGAATATAAAATCATTTGTATGTCTAAGTAGCAAGTTTTCTTGGGTTTGACTGGTTATATACATATTTGTTTTTTACTCTAGTTAATTTAGAAAGCTCTCTCCGTATACATAAATAACATTATAAACTATTGATGATATTATTGATATCAATAATGAAAATATTAATAACAGTAAAATGCGTCTTTTCTATCATAGTGCTTTTGTAGGTATTTTTACTCTATAGTGGTTTTTGTCGATAAAAAAAAAATGGTTCTTAAACAATAGAACAATTTTTCTTTAAAATCACTAAAAAATGTGTATCAGCTTAAAATTGTTTGGGCCCCTTTCATCTCAGTACTTGAGAGGGCCCCGAGACTCCCCCTTAATCCGATCTTGCGCGAGACCCGTATCTACCATTCTGTACTATTCAGGACAGAATTTATCAAGGAATAACTTTTGGGGATGTATGATAAGTCCAGTATGCATTTTGTAGTAAAAATACAAATATGTGGAATGCCGTACAAACGGGAGATTTCAGGAAAATTCATTTGAGAACATACTATATTTTCGACAAGACTTTTATTTAATGGAATTATTATTTTCAGAACGTTATTTTTTGAAACAATAATAGGTTAGGTTAATAATAGGTACCATTGAATATTTTTATCAGGAAATTACTTCCTCGAAAACCGTTTATAAAGGATACGTTTAGAATTACCCTGTGACCAACTAACGTATGAGGTGGTGTTGCATAACAAGTCGAGGGATATTTTTTTTTTTTTACCTATTGTTTCATAGCTATATATATCTAGTATGTATTATCTAAGGATAGCTGGATAGCCTTAATCATTCATGGACTGTCGGACTAAGATAGAATCGCATAGAACAATGTTATTACCGGGGCCTGATTTAATAAAATTAGGGCCAAGTTTTTTTGGGGCCCCCCAAGTCAAAAAAAATGTTCTAGAAAAAATCAACATAGTGAGGGAGGGAATGTTGATAATAAAAAAAATATATTTATATGTTAAAAGTGTTAAATACCCATCTCAAAATTCATTATATATTTGTACATTATTTCATGTACTATAAATACAATTTATAGTTACTTGGTCTAGTAAATTAAGGACAATGAAAAGACAATACTAATTAAATAACATAAATAAATTATAATATATTAAAATATTAAAAATATTAAAAATATACTTAAGGATTTTATTATATGAGTTTAAATTAAAATTTTTTTTTTTCGATCTTCCATAAAATTGTAAAAATGGTAAATAACTTTTTCATTAATAATTTATTTTATATAATTAAAATGAAATAAAAATGATCAATTTCTATAATTTCTATTTTTATAACATTTTATCTTAAAAAAGTTTAAAAATTACAAAGACGATTACGAAAACTGACAATTTAATGATAAAAATATACTGAACTCTAAAAATTGACAGTTGGTATTAGATATAACAAAATACATATTTGTGGAATTAATTCAAAAAAACAATTTACTACAACTTGCGGAGACCGGGGGCCCCCAGAAATTGGGGGCCAAGTGCTCCAACTACACTTTCGTAAACCAGGGCCTGGTTATTGCCAAAGAATATTATAAAATTCCTCATCGCTGACAATTATTGTTTGAAAATGAACACGAACGAATGAACGAATTCGAACCCATATCAAACGCTTTGATCAGACCGCCTTTCGTTATATACAGAGTGATTACAATAATACAGCAGTTACATACAGCCAAACATCGCAGTCATTCGCTACACTCCGGTTAAGAAACACTGTTTTAAGGGACAAAAATGATAACCAATAAGTTTTAAAAAAGCATAATATTCGTTTAATTATTATTTTCATAATTATCACACAGTATTATATTCTAAATATCTAATTTTAAATTTCTAAAAAAAAAAATAACTGTTACATATTATGATGATTTCTTTTTAAAATGAAATACCGAGATATTAAGTTAAAATGTTATAGTATTTTAATTCGATAAAAGACAATCTTAAATGGTACTTACAGCTAGTTAGGTACTACAATATATAAATTTAATCTAAAGCCTAAATTTGTTAATTAATGACTTGAAAAGAATACTTAACAGTTTTGATTTAAGTAGGAGTAATATATATAATATATATATATATTATATAAAATTAGTCATTTTTAACGATTTTCTAATGACTGAAAATAATGTTTATGTAGGAAGTTAATTTTTTTTTTTTAAATTATTTATTTTGTTAATAAATTAATAGTTATTCATATATATATCACACTTTCATACACAACATTCGATTAAAATGTTAAACGATTATACAAATTTAATTCTAATATATTACATACACACGTCATATTATATACCTTAAAACTAAAAGTGAACAAGTCTTCCGAAAGCTTACCACTTGAAACGGTCACCCAATCGAAGAAATGTATCGCACAACACGTCATCGGATTGTGAATATTCTAATAAATGTATAATATATATATTTCTTTTTTTAACAATGACTTATGTCTGCTCGTGAGATACCTATTTAATAATTAAGCTAGGCACAGCGTAAGCGTTCGGAAGAGATGTCCGTACAACAATTAAAACATGAATAATAGTATATTATGTACGTTAGAATATTAACAATTATTTACGTTTTAATTGAGTAGTTTTGACTAATTATATCGCGTCTAGTTCACAGAAAGGCCTTTAATCGGGGAACACTCGTCGTCTCGTTACAGTTACGAACAATATATAGCCGTTATACTGCAGATATATAGACCCCTTTTCTTTACGTTTTCCCAGCCCAGAGCTTATGATATCACACGACGTGTACTATAATTATTAGATTTATGATATTTAATGTGTGAACGGCGAGTGTCGGCAGCTAATTAAAGGCCCGTGAGACTTTTGTCGAGCGCAAAACATGGCAAACGATTAACAGTCGTAAAACAGTGTATAGGTATTTATAAAATAATAATAAACATATAATAATAATATAATAATAAGATGTGTTAGGCGCTTACTACCCGACTGTTATGTGGGGGAGGGGGTGGTAAGGTGAGACGAATTTTTTTTTTTATAAAATTATATAGAAGTCAATATATGGTAGGTATAAACGACGACGGAAAAACAAAAATCGTCGTCGTCTTAGTCTTCGTTGTTTTCATCATGTCAGGTAATCCGGAGACGGTTCGGAAGACGTCCGGTCATGATTCATGAACATCGGATTCGGCACTTGGGTCGGATGCGGCAGTGGGCCGTTGACGTTCGGCGTTCTCCTGTAGGCCATCAGCCAACACGAAACGGCCACGGCCACGGCCACCAGCGCCAGAAGGGCCGTGATGACAAGGGCCACGATGAGTCCGATGACCGACACGCAAATGTCCTCGGCGGGCTGAATGATTGGAGCTAAAAGGGGAGGGGTGACAAAAAAAACGAAAGATTTTAGTACCAGCACACACGAATAAATTCGGCCATCACCGCATTATCTATATAGTGAGCAAATCATGGCAAATCGTGACAAAAATCATTATCATGGCAGATAAGTTCCCCACCCTCCCACAATGTTTACCAATTAAATAGGTATGACCCCCCCCGGATTGGGCATTCATAGCGGAAAGTAAGTGAACTCAAAGGAATAGATATATTATGACTTTCCAGACATACCTATACTAATACAAATTTACTGATTTTATTTAATCGAGCAGTGTACAAGCATCTATAAAATATAATACATTTATGTATTAGTAAAGGTATCTCATAAAGGTATAGCGTTCGTTCTATGACGAATTAAATCATTCGCAGATTTAAATCGCAGGTACCTACAGCATAAAAAAAATGATTTTGACCTATATTTTGTTTTTTTACTAAAATGTTAAATATTTGTTATGCAACGCCCTGAATATCTATATTGTTTTACATTATACTGAATTGGGTTAATGGTAAATGTTGGATTAGAATTTATATTTATTTTTAGTGTTGTAATATTATTTTCAACGGTCTGTTGAACACTATTCTTAAGCCGAAACTTTCACCAAGTATCTATCGACGTTCTTGGAAAAAGTCAGTAGATTAAAAAAGGGGGGACAACTGTTGTTTTCAACTAATCTTAGTGAAATTTGATTTTGAATCTTAAGATTAAATGTAACAACACAAATATAAAATGGTGTACAACTGGTTCGGAATATTCTTCTTATTCATACAATATGATTATTATAATATTATAATTAGGTATTATAATATGGTAGGCAAGTAAGTATACATTGCAATAATATTTTTGTCCAAGAAAAAAATGTGGCTCATGCACCGTTTGCTGCACTCTCTCATCTGATATAATATTACGAATTATGAATAAAATACCTATTACCTATACGTCCCACAAAGGTAATAGGCCAGGTCGGGGAAAGTAAAAGCGAACGATAGTAGGTCAGACGTAATCGGATATCAACTACGCTTATCGTCGATGACGTCAACGAAATGAGCGTATACTATACACCTACACGAGGAGAAAATACTCGCGTGTACGGTTTCGTTTTTGAGGAAAATATAACCGTCCCTGCACGTCCCTCTGCCCAACGACGAAGTAAGTGTATAATACTAACAATATTATATACCTACATAATAATATTATGATAATACCCGAGTGCAATATTATTGTACAACGTACCTTCAGTCGGATCCATCAGTCGTTCTTCCCTGCGTTCGAACGTTAAAATGGCGTTCGACTCGATGGTGATCTCTTCTCTCAGCTGTCCTCGCTGGGCAGACTCGAGGGCATCGTCGTCGGGACCGTTGTCGTTCTTGGATATTTCACGTCTTCTGCGTCTTCCGAACGCGTTGTAGCCGCGGCAATTCACCTGCAATCAAAGACGGTTCGACGGGTTAATACACGAAAAAGTTTTAACGTACGGGGAGGAACAAAGCTGGGATTTGCTCACTCCTCCCAAAACTCATCCTTACGCACTTCTTTTGTTACGTCAATTCGCTAACTATATTAAAGCATGTGTTAGACATTCGATGAAAAAAAAAACGACGGGAGATATAGAAATATTTTAGACAAAGAATCTTCCTAAACCGAATTTCGCCGGTGCATTAAACTCTTAATTTTGGTCGGAAATCGTGTTCGGCGATATCAAAATCGTATATGACTAAACATCGAGGCACGATATCTACACACCTACCTCCTAATATAGTCCTATTAAACGCTGTGTATAATAATGACAGTGGGGATTGTCGAGCGTGTGCATAAATCGTTATATTGTTTCGCCCTACCACGTCGTCTCGTCGTCGGTATATGTGACTAGGCAATACTGAATAGATTATGAAGAAACATATTTTGCCATCACTCATCATTGATCATTACGCCTGTGCAGCCTTCAGACGATTTACCGTGTTGATAATTAGGTATATGATTTAATCCATTGACCATAACATAATTGAACATTGACTTATTCATATTCTGATTTTGATTTTTTAAGTACACATATCATATAGAATTATAGAAAGCACATAGGCTATATTTTCAAAAAAATCAGATTTTTTAAACTGTATATAAGGAGCGCCCTGTGGAGATAATAACTTCTTTTTTTCAAATGATAACTGCATTTTTTGCTATAAATTACTAAGCACGAGATTTATTTTTCTAAAATGTTGATGTAAATAAATCGAAATTCAAACGAGTAGTTTCTAAGTCGTTAAACGTTACCTATCTTCTATTACATTAATAGCCCATAGTGATATACTGATATGAGGGCTATGGCGATTTGAAAGAATTTATGTTAATAATTTTAAAAATTGCCCGAGTAGAATAAGTGCTAGACTAAAAAATAATAAATGAATGGTGAGCTGAACAACTACACCATCCAAAACATTATCTGTAATATGACACAATTTCTGTACGATTACATCGAATAAGTATAGATATACTCAAGCATATATAGGTACTTCCTAAACGTTTCAATTGCGTACAAATCTTCTACAAAATAATATTACGTGTCGAAAGGATGGACATACTGTCGGTGGAAAATGTCAAGTAACCACACTAGTTTTGCCTACACTTTACAGTAGTACTTACCGGTTGGCATTTGCCGAAGCACACGCGTATGTTACACTGGAATCGTATGTTGTCGGAACTTGGGAATTTGAACGCGTTGAAACCGGCCAACAGAGATTGGGTGTCCGCGTTGTAGTCCCACTCGCCGAATATCGTCGGGTCGGTCGCGCACCCATTCTCGTCGGTTACAATGTACTCGTTCTCTACGTTGTCTTCAATCGTTTTCGCCACACAGCTCCTGGCGTATCCTCCGTAGATGCCTGCAATCGAAGGATTTATCATCGTTATATAGGTTGACTGGTGACGGATATGACGGGCGTAACAACGGGGGTGCCACAAAAGTCCAAACGTGTCGGTCAGACGTTTCAAATATTTTTAAATTTTAGCAAGCAGGAAATCATAATTGATATTTATACAATGTGTATTTTACATGTGGATGTCCTATATAATTAAATACGTATTGTACAACTTAATAGCTGTATCTTGGTATAAAGTCGACAGTTGGTACACAACGTTTTTAGGCCCTGCAGACGCGACCGTCATTCATTTTTAAACATATTTTATAAATGGTTTTCACACTTACTCGACGGTTGGACGTCCACTTGTAGCATTAGGTTGTCACCTATTTCGGCTGAATCGATTTCTTGTCCGGTGTGAGTGACGATCTTCATCAGACACGTAGGTGGTGGTCCGGTGTTCGCTATCGTACCAGCCGTGGTCAACATGGACACGTTAAAGCCGAGCGTGACGTTCTGCTCTCCGGTGTTGTACACGCATCGTATGTGATAGGCTTGAGCTTTGTAAGTCACTAATTTCGGATGTTTCTGTATGACCAGCACAAAACTAGCCTGGCCCTGTTGTGCGCAATAAATGTTAGCATTAGCTTAGGACTATAATAATTATATAGAAGCAGTAGATTTTATCGCCGGTGACGCGATCACGCATAATATTTGTATACTACGACACGCGAGACTAAAAAAATACAAATAAACACCTATCGTTATTAAACTCACGTTGATGTGTATAAGTCCACAGTTTCCAAAGTTGACTTTGAATATTTCCGTTCTGGGCGAAGAGTCTTGGGCCATCGATACTACTCGTCTACACTGTTCGTTCTTACTGTGGCCCTTCACATAAAGCACTCCGTTAAATCCTTTTTCTGTAATATGGATTTCCACTTGTACTCCGTCCGACAGACACGTGACTACCATGTCTGGTCTCGGGAAGTCCGTTCTGAGTTGTGTTGTGTTTTCTGAAAAAACATTTTTTTTTTTATAGTTTCAATAAAGTGAATAAAACGCGGCGGTGATATTAATAATAAAAAAACATTATTATCATCATCACAGCATAATGTTTGACTACATACTCGGTACGCATTGTCCATAGATGTTCAAACTGTAACCGTGTTCGGTCGGACATATGCAACGTCCTCTCTCGTCAATGATCAATCCTCTGTCCAGAGCGCATACACAATGGCCGCGTTCGTCGATCTTGTATCCCAATTCGACTACGCACCTACGGCATTCGTCTTCTTGGTTCAGGGCTGTGCCCGGAGGACACACGCATTCTCCTTCATCATTCCTCACGTAGCCTTTATCAATTGGGCATTTTGAAACTGAAATACAATAAATACAGACGTTATGATTTTGTTACAGCGACGTAATACTATGACGAAACATTTGGATAAAGGGCTTGCAAAAGCTATCGTTGTAACGTATCTAATACACGGCAAAATAGTAAATGAAAGCCTTGATTTTAGATACATACCGGCTATAATATTGGTTGTAAATTAGTTTGTATAAAAAATTATAGTAAATTTTATTTTTTCAGAACCTCAATAGATTTAGAGCTTAGTTTGACCTTTGACAGGGTTTTACCATGGTATAATGTTACTGGCAATATCGATGGTGAAAAAACATCTTACCTTCGTCACATCGTATGGCTGCATTTCCTTGTGTACCCGGTAGACATTCGCACGTCATTGTTCTTATCGGGTAGGTGTCGAGGACTTTGCATTTAGAGTTTGTTCCACACGGCGAAGAAACTTCGCACGGGCTCACGCACAATTTGTTAATGCAACCCGTCTGTGATGGACATTCGGAATCGCTTTGACATCCGGTTTCGACTAAAGAAAAAAGGTTTTCAAAATTAATTCCCGTTTCGAGCTCTGACACTCTGACGTCCTCTGGACACGTACTTTGTTTGCAAGTAGTTCCGGCGTTTCCGACGTAACCTGGCGGACAAGCACAATCTGTGCGGTGGTTGTACACTGTACACTCGGCTGGCTTCACGCATGGATTATTTCTGGTGCACGGATCGATACATTTGGTGTTTATGCACGCCTTGTCGCTAGGACAATCCGTGTCCGACCGACAGCCGGCTACCACGCAGGCTATCTGCGGGTTTCCGGCCATTCCGGGCGGACATTCGCACACGGCTTGATGGTTGATGCCATAACATTCAGAAGCGGTACCGCAACTGCTACCGTCCGCGGCGCACACAGCCACGCAGATACGGTTGACGCAGGTGTGTTGACCAGAACAGTCGGATTCGCTTCGACATCCGGCTGAAAGTATGGAAACGGTTTTTTTACTCGTACTTAAGGGAAGTTCATGGTGGGACAGGTGTGACAGAGTAATAGCAATTATTAATTGATGGGTTCCATCTCACCATCAGGGCACAAAGTTTTACTACGTGTCACAATCACTGTTAAAAAAGTCCACTAATAGCTAAATAGGTTGGACTTATTTGAGATATTTGAAAATTGAAATTTTGACTCATTATGAATAATGACATTTTTTTAATACATATCCTGATATATATTATATACCTAATAATTATATTTAAACGTTGATAGCCGTAGTTCACGAATTATTTTGTTAATAATTATACGTTTAAAGTATATAATTTTAACAGTTATCACTTCTTGTTAGGTAGGTCTGTATTATTCGTTATGCTTTTCGAAGCATTATACAAATTATTTAATATCATATATTTTATAGTGAATAAAATAAACGTGCGTGGTCTTACCTCTCGAACAGTCGATCTCCGGGCTGCCGTCAAATCCGGCCAGACAAGAGCACACCGGCTTGTGGTCCCACACTCTGCATTCGGAGTTCGGGCCGCAGTTGCACGGATCTATGCACCTGCCGTTCAGACAAGCCCTGTCAGACGGGCATTGCGTGTCTGCGGTACAGGCCACGGCAGTCATCGGTGGCGTGATCTTGCACGTACCGCTGCCGCTGCTCACGTAACCGCTGGGACATTCGCAGATCATGGTCCTGACCGGCAGCGAATCGATCACCACACACTCGGCTGGCCGTTTGCACGGTTCCAGCGCGGTGCACGGGTTACGGCACACGCTGTCGAAGCAGGCCAACAGCGATGGACAGTCGGCGTCTTCCTTGCACTCGGGTTGCACTTCCTGTCTGCAGGCCACGTACGGGTTGCCCGCCATTCCCGGGGGACATCGGCACAGGGCGAAATGGTTTTGTACTTTGCACTCGGCTTGAGACGAACACGGGTGTTCGTACACGCACGGGTTTATACACTGGCCGTTGATGCACGACCGGTCGTTGGGGCAGTCGTTGTTGCTGCGGCAACCGATCACCAGGCACCGGTCATACGGGTTTCCTCGATAACCGCTCTTGCACCGACACTCGGGGCGGCTGGCAACCGTGAAACATTCGGCGTTCGGGCCGCACGGATCTTCTACTATGCACGGATTTAGACAGTGGCCGTTGATGCAGGCCTTGCCGGATTCACATTCGGAATTCCTCTTACATCCCACTGTACATACAAAAATAAGATGTGAATATGATTGATAAAAGCGTTTTATTATGCCACTTAAAAGTCAACGATTTTTTAGTATTGCCCATAATAGGATGTAGATTGTCTGACAGACAATAGTCTAACGCGTTAGGAGGGGAAGGATGGTGTAGGTTATGATATTTCCCAGACCAAAAAGAGAGAACGACCATATCACAATCGTAAAAGCCTAACACCCGGGTACAAAAATCATAAAGGCGACCTCACAATTGTACGACCTCACATCCGTATGAATTGAAGTAAATAACAATATCGTTCGAATAAGATCTGAATATTATAATAAAACCGCCAGGAATATACACGTACCTATTCTGCAAGCAAAGTTTGGATTTCCATCATAACCTTCCAAGCAAGAACAAACCGGATGGTGATCTTGAACGAAACATTGGGCGTTTGTACCACAATTACAAGGATTACGGCATTGTCGGTTAAGGCATGCTTCGTTTGACGGACAGTCGTCGTTTGTAGTACATCCCGGTGGCGAGGAAACAACAACTACAAAAAAAACAAGTATTTTAGAAAAAATTGTTTAGATAAAATAAATAAATATATATAGACATTGAAAATAAAATCCAACCTTGTCTGCATTCTCCACCTTCGTTGAGCACCCATCCTTCGGAACATGTACACGTCATTGTTCTAACTGGTACACTGTCCAAGACAGCACACGTGGCACTATTTGAACAGGGTTTGATTTCCTGGCACGGATTCACACATTTTTCTCTGATACATGCAAGACGACTGGCACAATCCACGTCAATTCTGCATTCTGGTTCACCGAACAAAGGTGGTGGTAAACGTTCACAGTAAGTATTTGGATCTCCCATCGGGAAGTTTTCTGGACATCTACACGCCGCGGCATGGTTTCTGACAGAGCAGATGGCGTTTGATGCGCACGGAGTGCCGTGTTGTTCTGTACACGGATTGATACAATGTTGGTCGAAGCACATGCGATCTGACGGACAGTCTACATCGTATGTACATTCAGTTCTTTCACATTTGTCGAACGGATTTCCGAAGTAACCCGGTGGACATTGGCACGCAGCACGGTGATTGTCACCGTAACATTTTGCAGTTGTTGCACAAGGATCACTCAACAAACACGGTGGAACACATTCGCCGTTGTAACATTGTTTATCGTAAGCACATTGATCGTCTGATATACATCCCACTGAAATTTTTCAAAGATATATTATTATTATCATGTTGTCAAATATTCTTTATTAATGTCATATTTCAAAAACAAATTAATTGAATAATGAAACTATGTGTTGAGTATAGTTTTATTGACATTTTGAAAAAGTGTATTTACTTTTAATGCAGCCTTGCTGGGGATTTCCATAATACCCTGGCTTACAAATGCAACTGGGATAGTGATTATTAACTTTGCAATCTGAGTTGGGTCCGCAATTACATGGACTCACACACATTCTGTTGATACACGATTCTTCTGCAGTACAATCAGTGCTCGATACACATTCTACGGTCGGTACTGACGATGCTATTAACATAAAATATAAATATTGATAAATATATTGTAATTCGTAGGAATAAAAAATATAATCTTTACGTGGAGTGCATGCTATGCGAGGGTCTCCGGTGTAACCGTTGGGACATCTGCAAACGGGTTGGTGGTTTTGTGAATGACAGAATGACCCACGGCCACAACTGTCTCCTAAAGTGCACGGACTAATACATCTTTGATTGACGCAAGTTGTGTCTGAAGCACAGTCATCGTTTTTCGTACATTCTGGCGAAGGTGGTAGTATTGGAATCGATTGTTCTGTAACAATGTGTACACCGTTAGTATTAAATTACAAATAAACAATAACTTTGCATATTTTTTTATATATGTTAACCCTTACGAAGTGAGCATTCTGTGTGTGGGTTTCCTGTATATCCTGGTGGACACGAACACGCAGCTTGATGGTTTTGTGAGATACATTGTGCGTTTATACCACATGGGTCGATTCGACATGCTTCTACACACCCTTGATTTACACATCTTTCTGATAATGGACATTCTTGATCGCTTTTACATTGAGGAGTAATGGAAACTGAAAAAAATGTTTGGTATATTATTATTTTTTTCGTCTAAAAATAGCACGTATTTAAATAAATTTAGTTGTTAATTTGATGTAAGTAAAATATTAAAATAATTACTAATCGATTGAAAAATATCAAGTACCTATCTACTTAATTTACTAATTACTCTAATTGAATAGGTAGTTAGTTAGATGAGTGAATTGTTATGGTTTCACAAAAAGTTTACCTATTGGTTTGCAGCCGCCATCAATAGTGGCTACAGTGTCTGATCTACATTGACACATAATAGTTCTGTATGGAACTGTATCTTGAACATGGCACTCTTGATCTGGTGAACAGAGTACAGAAATGGTACAAGGATTTTGACATCTCTGATTTACACAAGCATGCTGTGATGGACAGTCAGAATCGGTTGTGCACTCAGGAGTTATTGATGGTACTCTTGATTCTATATTAAATTAAAAACAAAAATTAAAGTTTACCAAACACTGAAAACATAACACAGGCATTTATGTTTAACTTACCAATGCATTCAATGTAAGGATTGCCTTGGAAGCCATTCAGACATGTGCATGTTGGTTGGTGAGCTTGGGCTAGACATGTTGCCTGCTCAGCACAAGTGTCTTGTTCACAGACAGGTCTGCATCTTCTGTTTAATCTATCACATGCTTCATGATCTGCACAGTCTTCATTATATTGGCACACTACTGATACGCAAGATACCATTGGTGAACCTTGTGTACCTGCCGGACAAATGCAATGAGCTTTGTGGGCTTGTACAATACAATCAGCTCCATGTCCACAACTCTGAGTAGAACACGGGTTCAAACAATTGCTGTTGATGCATGCTTTATCATAAACACAATCGCTATCGGTCTTGCAACCAGCTGAAACACACAGAAAAAGGTGTAAGCATACAGATGGTTATCACTTATCATTAGGATTAATAATTTCAGGATAATAATATATATTACGTTTATAACACTGAATTTGAGGATTTCCTGCCCATCCATTTGGACAATTACAAATTGGTCGATGGTTAATTGTAACACATTCAGCAGTAGTGTCACATGGTTTAGATATTTGACACGGGTCTTGGCAATATTGGTTGGCACATATTTTAGAACTTGGGCATTCAGAATCTGTTGTACATTCTGGTGTGGCCAGTGGTACTGTAAGATGTTTAAATATAAAAGTTACATTGTAGTTTCATACATTTTAAAAGATAGATTTTTCACTAAATACGGTAATTGTAAATTCCCTTACCTTTGTAACAACTGATGAATGGATCACCAGAAAGTCCATCTGGACATTTACAAACGGCTTTGTGATTATTGATTGTGCAAATTGCAGTAGATGAACAAGGGTTGGATACAGTGCATGGATTAACACATTGACGGTTTAAGCACAAATCTGTCGGTTGGCAATCGTCATTAGATCTACAACCTACCGATGATGGGGCACCTATAATAAAACACACTTTAGTAAATTATATATATAATTATATTATTTTGGTCTGTAATAATAAAAAGGTTTATACAACATGAAGTCAATCTATATAATTTATGTATATACAACAGAAATAAAGCTAATGGAAGTGAAGGGATTGACAAAACATGTTTGCACATATATTTAAATTTTATTATATTTTCATATGAACTCTGATGTGTCACTTAAAATAGGTATATAAAAGAGGATATTTTATAGGAAATAAATAAGCAGCTATAATCTGAAATCACATAAAATGGAGTATTAATTAGTAATTATATTATATATGGTGTCAATGTTATTAGCTGAAATTTAATTAGGTGTATATAATTAGTTTGTGATATATTTATAAACTTAAATTCATTTTGAAAACAATTTTCATTACCTAGTTTACATTGGATGTCGGCATCGCCAACATATCCTGGAATACACTGACATGACATAGTTCTATGAGGTAACGTATCTACTACAATACACTCAGCATTTGGCCCACATGGTTTTATCTCATAACATGGGTTTTTGCAATCTCCGTTGAAGCAGGCCAACTTACTAGCACAGTCCGAGTCCATTGTGCACTGAGGTGGAACAGCGAGTGGAGCTAATAATAATAATAGTATTTAAAGAAATTGATTAGTAAGTGCATTACAAAATCAATAATAGGTATATTATGCATTTATACAACAATGAAAATACAAAGCTATTTAATATACTATACTACATACTTAAAGTACAAGAAGTATGAGGATTTCCTATGTAACCCGGTGGACATCTACATGCAGCAATATGGTTAGCCACGTTACACAACGCAGTCGGAGCACAATCACACGGACTTTGACAATGTTGATTTCTGCAAGCCAATGTTGACGGACAGTCTGAATCGACCACGCATTCAGGTCTTCTACATTCTACAAATGGATCTCCTTCATAAGCGGGAGGGCAATAACATCTAGCTCTGTGGTACCCATCAGTTCGACAAAGTGCGTTTATACCACAATGAGTGTAGGCACATGGGTCAACGCAATCTCCATTAACACATGATTTTTCCGGAGGACAATCGGTATCAGCACGACAACCAACTGAAAAAAATCATCAAAATTGAATTTAGATTTATAGACAAGCATATTTTGTTGATCAAAATTTACTTTCTACACATTGTATTTGAGCATTTCCAGTCATTCCATCTCTGCACACACACACTGATCTGTGTTTCTGAACATAGCATAATGCATTTCTCGCGCAAGTAGTTGGTGATTCTTGACACGGGTCTTTACAGGCATAATTTATACAGGCTTTGTCGTTGGAACATTCTCCATCAGTAGTACATTCTGGCTTAGGTTCTAAAAAATAATAATATAAACATAATTAATTAGCCATCCATATCAATAATTAGAAGTCTTAATCTAAACGAAACCATAAAGGACCATGATAAAAATGTCAAGAAAAAAATTTAAAAACTTAAAACAATGAAATGCTAGATAAGCTTTAATACAATATTTGTATTATTAAAAATTTAAAAGTGTCAATTTCATTCATAATTAATAAATCATAACTAAAATATTAGTACAAAATTATTTAAAACCGAAAAATAATAAACATAAGTAAAACAAAATTTGGAAAAAGAGATCCCTTCAATACTGGTGTAAGAACCTATTGGATTTACTATTTTATATCTATAAAAAATATTGATTTGTATAAAAAGAAGTATGATTATCATAAGATAAAATATATAGTTTGTTAAAAAAACTAATTTGTATACTTATTGTATTTATTATTATTAGTTATTTGAAATTTTTATTTTTCAATGATTATATTGGTTATATTAATGCATAACGATTTATGATACTACTTTTACAAATAATTAGTATTTTTTTATATTATGAGATAAGAATCAGTATCTTCTCTTAAGGTTAGGCTTTTGAAATATTATTTCTAATTTTTTGTGTAAAAATAAATTTTAATATTTTTTCAAATGTAATAATAAAATAATAGTATCGTACATATTCATTATATTTGGTTTTATTATTTTACCTGGTGATCGTTGTATTATACACTGTTGTTTAGGTTCTCCATAGTATCCTGGTGGACATGAACATAGAGCATTGTGATTTACTACTTGACAAATAGCGTTTAATCCACAAACATCTCGACATGGGTCTTGGCATTTCTGTGTGAAACAAGCCTTGTCTCTTGGACAATCTTGGTTAATAATACATTCCGGATAAACACAAGATGCAATTTTTCCGATTACTCTACACTGACCATTGCTACCGCACGGGGACGGGTTACATGGGTCACTTGGCAAAGCTGTTATGAAATATAGGTGTTTTAATATTTATATGTAAACAAATTATATTAATAATACGTAAACCTAAATAAAAACAAAACATTTACCTGGTTGTTGTTTACATTCAACAAATGGATCTCCAATAGTGGGTGGTGGACAAGAACAAACCGGGCTGTGGTTAATAGTTTGACAAATTGCATCATACCCACATACTCCAATACACGGGTCGACACATTTATTGTTAACGCAAGCTCTATTACGAGGACAATCAGGACTAATCACGCATTCAGGCCTGCATCCATTTGTTGATGGAGATCCTTCATATCCTTGTAAACATTCGCAGATAGCAGCTCCATTCATTATGCGGCAACGAGTATTTGGTCCACAAGGTGATGGAACACATGGATCAGATGGAATTGGATCTACACAATTATTTATAAAATTAATTAATAAAATAATTATATTTACATAAAATTTATAATAATGTGTACTATTTAGTGTGAAATTGAAGTTATAATAAACATTGACATAAATTATCAAATATTATTCTTAGGAATTTAAGAAATTATTACCTCTAACTGGTATTGGGTGACACATTTGGAAAGGATCACCAGTTAAACTTTCTGGACATGAACATATTGGTATATGATTTGACACAAAACATATAGCAGATATGCCACATGTACCAGGACATGGATCTTGGCATTTATTTCTAATACAAGCCTTGTTCATGGTGCAATCAGAGCTAACAAGGCATTCTGGTCTACAAGACTCATACGGGTTTCCTTGATATTCTGGTAAACATTCACAAATAGCATTCTGGTTTTCAACACGACATCTAGCATTAGGTCCACACGGTGAGGGGTAACAAGGATCCGATGGTGATGTTGGTGTTGGTTGAACAGCTATAATTTAGATAATTAGGTTTTATGAGTAAAAAAAATTTGCATATATTACGTATCATGTCGGTATTCGTTCATACTTGAGTATAAAACAAATAACTACCATGCAAATACATAATAATCGTGCAATAAAACCATGCAAAACAATTTATAAGCATGCATTTTTCAAATATCTTACTAGCCATTACTTAAAATATTCAAATAAAACTAAACTAGAGACGACGCTGAATTGTATTATTTGAGATGTAGAGACTTATAAATATACTTATGACTAGTAAATATCTTAACTTAAAATCTAACTTAAAATAAATTATTTTAACGTAAAATAAAGTATTATGGACGTAGTTTTGGAGTTTGCTGTAGTAGATAAAATTAGTTATTAAAAACAAATTATTATTGACAGTGGGATATAAACACAAATCATCCTTACGCTGTGCTTGATGAATATGACATGATACGAAAGGATTTCCAACAAATCCTTGAAGACAAGTGCATTGAGGTATATGGTTAAATACATGACATTCAGTATTTAAACCACACGAACCAACACACGGGTCCTTGCATTTCATATTGATACATGCTAAATTATATCTACAATCGCTATTCGAAACACACTCTGGACGACACTGTGGAGGTGATCCTTGGTAGTTTGGTAAACATGTGCATGTGTAAGTGTTTGAAGTTACATGGCATTCTGAGTAAGGTCCACATGGGCTTGGTACGCAAGGGTTGATCGGATCTTGTTGTGGTTTTGATACAACTGTAATAAAATAATTTATATAATAATTATATATTCCATGTTCAAATAATACTAAAGAATTTATTTAAAACTTGAAGTTGGTTAATGTTTTATTTACCCGGATAGTAGCATTTCGAAAATGGATCTCCTGTTAAATGTAGTGGACAACTACATATTGCATTATGATTTATGACTTGACATTCTGCACTCATACCACAAGTTCCCAGGCACGGGTCTCTACAACGCTGATTTAAACAAGCAGTGTTCATAGAACAATCCGAATTAACAGTACATTCAGGTCGACAATTGGGAGGGTATCCAAAGAAAGTAGGTAAACATGTACAAATCGGTTGATTGTTTACATCTCGACATTGACTATTTGGACCACATGGTGAAGGCGAACATGGATTTTGTATCACTGGTTCTTGCAGTATTATTTGATGACATGTAATGAATGCATTTCCAGTCATTCCAGATGGACAATGGCACATTGGTATATGATTATAAACTTCACAAATTGCATTGTTACCACAAGTGCCTACACATGGATTGACACATTTGTTTTTCACACATGCTTTGTCTTTAGCACAATCTTCATTCAAAACACATTCCGGTCGACAACCACGGTAGGGGTCACCTTGATAATCGAGTATACATGAACAAATTCCATTATTACATGTAGCACTTGGTCCACATGGAGATGGATAACATGGGTCTGTATATTGTGGTTTTGGTGCTAAACATACAAAAATATTTATAAGTATGATGTTTAAATTTACTGAAAGATTTTTTTTAGACTAATTTTAGACTAACGTGGGCTTGGTTTTATATAACAGCTGACAAATGGATCCCCTATATAACCAGCTGGACATGTACAAATTGGTACATGGTTAATTACATTGCACTGTGATCCTAAACCACAAGACCCTGGACACGGATCTCTGCATTTTTCTCTCATGCAAGCCATATTGCTTGGACACTCGGCATGAACAATACATTCAGGTCTACAGTTTGGTGGACTACCAACATATGTCGGTGAACACGAACAAGATGGAGAGTTGCCATATGCTACACATTGAGAGTAAGGACCACAAGGTGAAGGCGAACAAGGGTTAACAATAACAGGTGTGTCTTGAGGTACAGCTGAAAAATAATTCTAATATTTATTAATTGTATGATTACATTTTAATGATAAGTTTAAAGGAATTAATAGTTTATCCACTATATATAATTATATCGTATAAGATTTTATTATATAGATAGATGCCACGTGGAAAAACACTTCACTTAAAATATTATGATCCTGTCAGTAGATTTTTCAATTACAAACTGATTTTATCATGTAAGTTAAATACATTTATTTTAATTTTTTTATACTGTAATTAATGTCTTTAACATTTCATGAGTATTCATTTTTTTTTATTTAAATTCAATTAACTAAGATATTAAGATATATTTTATATTCTAAACGTTATAACTCAACATATTAACACGAGTTTTCTCAGTGGGGGCCAGTACATATAATATGTATATGAAATTAAATTGAATAAATAATATGATACTATATTTAACTGCTTATGACTGTAGTTAAAAGGGTTAGGATAACACTTATAGAAAAGGTGGGCTTCTGTAATATTTCATTTTCTAACTTAACATAATAATGGTTTGTGCATAATTAACTATGTTTTAATTTCTATTTCTCTTATATATTATGTATTTTATCAATATCATACAGTAGTTTTGTTTTTGGGTAGTATTTAAATTTTAGATATAAATGATTAATTATTTTTTGTTGTTATATGTTAAAAAATGACTTGTATAATATCATGTAGTCGAAATTTTAATCTATAAATAATTCATTATTATTATATGACGGACTTACATTGTATCAAGGAACAGTATGTAGATGGATTACCAGTGTAACCAGAACTACATTTACATATTGGATGATGGTTTATTGTTTGGCAATACGCATTTTGTCCACATGTTCCTGGACAAGGATCTACACATTTTTGATTTATACATGCTTTGTTTTGCACACATTCAGCGTTTGTGACACATTCGGGTCTACATCCAGGCGGAGTTCCTATATAGGATGGTAAACACGAGCAAATTGCTTGTCCGTTATTCTCTTTGCACAAACTGTTTGGACCACACGGAGATGGGATGCATGGATAACTTGGTACAATTTCAACTTCTACACAAAATAAATTTTGTTTAATATTTAGTTAAAAAACGTTATTTGTTAAAATGCTTTATTAATTCCACTTACGTTGCGGTTGTATAATTTGACAGTATTTAAATGGATCTCCAACATAACCAGGTAAACAAGTGCACATTGGTAAGTGGTTAATAGTTTGACATTTAGCATTACTGCCACAAGTTCCTGGGCATGGGTCTTTACATTTGTTTGACATGCATGCTTTGTTAGCATTACAGTCTGTATTAACCATACACTCAGGTCGACATCCTTCGTAAGGATTTCCATAATATTCAGGTAGACAGATGCAGGAACCAGCATTATTTTGTTCTTTACATAACGCATTGGGACCACAAGGTGATGGTCTACAAGGATTTATTATTTCTTGAATTGGTTCTGCTATAAAAAATAAAATTTATATATATATATATATATTATGCAGTTGACGATAGCGTTGTATTCACTTTAAACAAATTTATATATTTACCTTGTTTTATTATGCATTGTGTGAACGGATCACCATTATAACCAGGTGGACAACTACATCTCGGAGTATGACTAATTACTTTGCATATAGCATTTGAAGCACACGAACCGGGACATGGGTCTTTACATTTCATATTGATACAGGCAAGATGATAAGCACATTCATTATTACTGATACATTCTGGTCGACAGTTTGGCGGTGAGCCAATGTAGTCAAGTGCACATGAACATGATGGAGAATTTCCATTAACTTGGCATTGAGAATTTGGGCCACAAGGCGAAGGTACACATGGATTTCGTACTGGTTCTGGTGGTACTAAATAAACAGTTAAATATGAATTTAAATATAAATCTTCACTAAAAATGAAATATTTATCTTACATTGTTGTACATAGCATCTAGAAAATGCGTTTCCGGTGAAACCGGGTGGACATGTACAATGTGGTCTATGACTTATAGTGTGGCATTGAGCATTCTCTCCACAAGCCCCTGGACAGGGGTCGCGGCATTTTTGATTTGAACATGCCCTATTTTGACTACAATCAGAATCAATGGAACATTCAGGATGACAAGATGGTGGTGTTCCAAAATATCCATTAAGACAAGAACACATTGAATAGCCATTGACTTCTCTACATTGGCTGTTGGGACCACATGGAGATGGTTGGCATGAATTTGTTTCAATTGGAGCTTTATGAATAGATAAAAAAACATTAGTATTTTATAATAAATATATATATGATCATTTTTTCTTAATACCTTGATATGTTAAACATCCAATAAATGCATTTCCATTCATTCCTTGAGGACATCTACACATTGGTATGTGATTATAAACATCACACAACGCATTTTGACCACAGGTTCCTGGACAAGGATCCATACATTTATTTCGTATGCATGCTTTATTTTGAGGGCATTCATTGTTAAGGACACATTCTGGTCTGCACATGCTGTATGGATCTCCTTGGTATTCGGAAATGCATGTACAAATTCCATTATTGCACAAAGCATTTGATCCACATGGAGAAGGATTACAAGGATCTGAAGCTTGTTGAATTGGTGCTAAATTAATGGAATTTTTGATATTTAATGTTATTTGTAAAATATAAATATATAGTTATGTGGGAATAAAATATAAATTATACTAAATTTATCATTTGCATGATACTCACGTTCTGGTTTGATGTAACAGCTCATAAACGGATCTCCAGAATAGCCTTCTGGACAAATGCACATAGGAATGTGGTTTAACACTTGACAATGGGCATTAAATCCACAAGAACCTGGACACGGATCTCTACATTTCTCTCTAATACATGCCACATTACTTGGACAATCAGCATTAATTGTGCACTCTGGTTTACAATTTGGTGGAGATCCTATATACGATGGTAGACATGTACACGAAGGAGAACCTCCGTAATTTTGACATTGGGAATATGGACCACATGGTGATGGTATGCATGGGTTTATCGGTGGCTGAGGTTGAGGTTCTGGAGAATCTATATAAATAATTATTTATTTTAGAAATTGTTATTATAATAAAAAAAATAGTCATATTGAGGTAAATACTTTGTATTGGATAGCAAATAGAAAATGGATCTCCTGTGAATCCTGAATTGCATATGCACAATGGACTGTGATTTACAACTCTGCAATTAGCACTTTGTCCACATACTCCTGGACAAGGATCTACACATTTCTTGTTTACACATGCTAAATTTGTTGGGCATTCTGCACTAGTTGTACATTCAGGACGACACATAGGCGGACTTCCGATAAAGGATGGTAAACAACTACATACAGCTTGATTATTTAATTCTCTGCATTGACTATTCGGACCACATGGTGATGGAATACATGGGTATATTGGTTCCATTTGAGTAACTAAAATCAAATAAATATATATTATTTATACGGTTATCGAAAGAATAAAAAATTTCATAACTAATGGGAATCTTTGATATATATTTTTAAGTTTTTAAACAAGAAACAAACATTTTAAGAACAATAATCAAAAAAAAGGTAACAACTTAAAATGCAAAAAAAATTATGAGTATTTTGAAGAATTGATTGACTATAGAAAATGATTGAACAAGTAATGATGGAATGTTTTATGTGTATTTACGATGAATATTTTTTGAATAACAACAACAATATAAAACCTATTTTGATCAAAATCTAATAATTGGCGTCGAGTAAATAATTTCCATTTTCCCGATATTTTAAGAAGAGAAAATTAGATTTTAATATTGTTTACAAATTACTTTATCGAATTTGATCTACTCAGAATCTAAAGATATATTTTTATAGATTTTTCACCAGCTTGTAACAATGAGTATAATATATATTTTTTGATTTGTTAAAATAGAACTACTGTGGTTAAATATATAAAAATAAAATAACAAACTTACTTTGTGGTGTTATAAAATTGCAGGATTGGTATGGGTTACCCGTGTAACCTGGATTACAAACGCATGATGCAACATGGTAAACCACTTGACAATCTGCATTCAAACCACAATTTCCGGGACAAGGATTTTGACACTTGTATTGTATACAAGCTTTACTAGGAGAGCAATCTGTATTAACAATGCACTCTGGTCTACAACCTTCATACGGATTTCCAAAATATCCCGGCAAACAGCTACACGAGCCCGCATTATTTTGTTCTCTACATTGGGCATTTGCTCCACAGGGGGACGGAGTGCAAGGATGTGGATCATCTCTTATTACAACTGCATCTGAAATACATGATTATTGATTAAATATATTAATATAATTATATAATATACTATATATTTTAGGAAAATACCTTGTTGAACCACACATTGAACCATTGGATTTCCAGTATAACCTTGTACGCAGTAACACATTGGAGAATGGCTGATAACACGACATAAGGCATTTTCTCCACATAATCCAGGACATGGATCTTTGCATTTCATATTTATACAAGCCAAATTATATGAACATTCACTGTTACTAACACATTCAGGTCGACAATTTGGTGGTGATCCAATATATTCAGGCAAGCATGAACACGATGGAGACGTTCCTTGAACTTGACATTGCGAATATGGACCACAAGGCGAAGGAACACATGGGTTTCGAACTGGTTCATCTTCAATAACTGCTAAATTTGTTTTTACAAATATTCAATATTAGTTATACATATGACATCATATTATATCATATACATCATCACATTATTATTAATAACTTACGTATTTGACTGCATTGCACAAATGCATTGCCTGTAAAGCCAGGAGGACAGCTGCATATCGGATTATGATTAACAACATGACATTTAGCACTTATTCCACATGTTCCAGGGCAAGGATCTCGACATTTTTGATTACTACAAGCTTTACTCAAAATGCAATCGGAATTAACTGTGCATTCTGGACGGCAAGTTGGTGGAGATCCAATGTATCCAGTTATACAAGAACACATACTTTGTTGATTTATTTCTTGACAAATACTATTTGGACCACATGGTGAAGGATTGCAATAGTCATGTACCACAGAAACTAAAAATAAATAAATGATTGTTAATATAAATTTTAAATTACCAAGCTATTAATATATTGTGTTATTTATTACCTTGCTGTGGTCGACAGTCTATAAATGCATTTCCAGACATTCCTTCGGGGCATCTACACATTGGAATATGGTTATACACATCACAAATTGCATTATGAGCACAAGTTCCTGGACATGGATCTTTGCATTTATTTCTAATGCAAGCTTTATTTCTAGGACATTCATCGTTTATTATACATTCAGGTCTACATCCAACATAAGGATCTCCTTGATATTCTGGTAAGCAAGTGCATTTGCCATCGTTACAATTCGCGTTTGAACCACATGGTGATGGGTAGCATGGATCAATATTTGATATTTCTGGATCTAAGAATTATACAATTATTTCAGCAATATAAAAATGTTTTTGAGTAAATGAGTAATTTACAAGAAAATATTTATTTAATATTTATGTCACTAACCGTTTTGTGGTGGTTTAAGCATACATGAATTGAATGGGTCTCCTATATATCCACTTGGACAGTAACAATTAGGTGTATGATTGTTCACAGTACAAATAGCTCCAACCCCACAAGAACCAGGGCATGGATCTTTACACTTTTCATTCATACAAGCTTTATTGCTTGGACATTCAGCACTAATAACACACTCGGGTCTACAATTTGGTGGAGTGCCTATGTACTGAGATAAACAGGAACATGATGGATAACCTCCTTGGTCGTGGCATATTGCATATGATCCACAAGGATTTGGAATACATGGATTCATTGGTTCTGGTGGAGTTTGTTGTATTTGAGGCTCTGAAAAATAATTAAATATATAATTTGTATTTGAATAAAGTATTTTATGGGCTCAAGGTTCAATTTATTCTAATAATGAATAAAGTTATTAAATTTATTTATTTACTTGGTAGTTGATAGCATTGAGAAAATGGATTTCCAGTGTATCCTGAAGTACATGTACAAATTGGACTATGGTTAATAGTTTGACAATTGGCATTATGACCGCACATTCCGGGGCATGGATCTTTACATTTTTGTCCCATACATGCTTTATCACGATTACATTCAGTACTTATTACACATTCGGGTCGACAACTAGGAGGACTTCCAATAAATTCTGGAAGACATGAACATATCGCTTGACCATTGAGTTCTCTGCATTGGCTATTTGGTCCACAAGGCGATGGACTGCATGGATTAGTTGGTTCAATTGGAGTTTCTAAAATTAAAAATAATTACCATTAAAATATAATGACCTACCTATTTATTGAGAAGATAAATAGTAAAAAATAATTTAATTACGTTGCGGTGGTATAAATGAACAATATCTGAACGGATCCCCAGTATATCCATTGGAACATGTACACATGGGCACATGGTTAATTGTCTGACATTCTGCGTTTTGACCACATAGTCCTGGGCAAGGATTTTCACATTTATTTCTCCTGCAGGCTTCATTTTGTGGGCAGTCTGAATTAACCACACATTCAGGCATGCATCCTCTATATGGATCACCAAAGTATTCTGGTAAACACGTGCATGAACCAGCACCGTTTTGCTCTTTGCATACTGCATTTGAACCACAAGGTGATGGTTGGCATGGATTGAAATATTCTTGAGGAACCGGATCAGCATGTTGTATATTGCATTGTATTATTGGATTTCCAGTATAACCAGATAAACAATAACATTGCGGGGCGTGACTAATAACTTTGCATTCTGTATTCTGGCCACATGATCCTGGGCATGGATCTCGGCATTTCATGTTCATACATGCTAAGTGATATGGACATTCACTATTGATTACACATTCTGGTTTACAATTCGGAGGAGAACCGATAAACTGAGGCAAACAAGAGCATGATGGTTGACCACCAATGTCTTGACATTGAGCATTGAATCCACATGGTGATGGTATGCAAGGGTTTTCATTGAATTCTTCAACTGGGGCCGCTTCTAAATATGTATAATTATTTATAACAATGAATACTAGAATATTGTTTCAGTTAATTATTATTCTTACGGATTGGATGGCAGTGGACAAAAGAATTTCCTGTATATCCTGATGGACAATTGCATATTGGACTATGGTTAATAACTTGACATATAGCTCCTATTCCACATGTTCCAGGACATGGATCTTTACACTTTTGATTACTACAAGCTTCATTTTGATTACAATCAGAATTAGTAGTACATTCTGGTCTACACAGAGGAGGTGACCCAATGTAATTTGATATACATGAACATACAGCATGATTATTAATTTCTCTACACTGACTATTAGATCCACAAGGTGAAGGGTTGCATGGATAAACTTGAGCTTGAACTACATAAATAAATACTTAATTAATTATTGTATTGATTTAATATTATATAATTGGTATATTACTTTCAACTGGCTTGCACTGAAGGAAAGCATTTCCAGACATTTTGTCAGGGCATCGACACATCGGTATATGATTATATACATCACAAATAGCATTTTGTCCACAAATTCCAGGACAAGGATCTTTACATTTATTTTTTATACAAGCTTCCTTTTGCGGACAGTCATTATTTATAACACATTCAGGTCTACATCCCATGTAAGGATTTCCTTGATATTCTAATAAGCAAGTACATACACCATTATTACATTCTGCATTATAACCACACGGTGATGGATTACACGGATCACTGTGTACAACTGGAATATCTAAAATATTTAAACAAAGTTGTATTTCAATGCTTTATAAAATACTGATATATAAATTTAATTATAATTACTTACTTTCTTGTGGTTTAGAATAACAACTAGTGAAAGGATCACCAATCATGCCATATGGACAGACACACATTGGTGTATGATTTAAGACATTACATTCAGCATTGAAACCACATGATCCTGGACATGGATCTCTACAATGTTCGCTTATACATGCTTTGTTAGATGGGCATTCTGAATTCATAACACATTCTGGTCTACAATTTGGTGGGCTTCCGGTGTATTGAGAAAGACAACTGCATGATGGAACTCCTTGGTTATCATAGCATTGTGAATAAGGACCGCAAGGTGATGGTATGCATGGGTTTACATATTCAGTAGGCACATATTGAGGCAGTGGTACTAAAAATATGTATTACGTAAATATAAAGATAATAGAATGAAAATAAACTAGTAATTACATGGTATTGGGAAACAGTGAGTGAATGGATCTCCAGTGAATTTAGGTCGACAAGTACAAATTGGACTATGATTTATGACTTTGCAATCAGCATTTTTTCCACAAATATCAGTACATGGGTCAGAACACTTTTGGTTAGTACACGCTTCATAACTTTTACATTCCGAACTTATGACACATTCTGGTCTACACCCTGGAGGACTTCCAATGTATGTAGGCAAACATGAACATATTGCTTGGTTATTGATGGATTTACATTGACTATTTGGTCCACAGGGTGACGGATAACATGGGTTTATCGGTTCTATTGGAGCATCTAAAAGTAAATAAAAAATCACAATATAATTACAATAAAATACTTATAATTAAATTTAATATTACTAAAAACAGAAATACCATAAATGGTTTTATGTACTTCCATAAAAAATTACTTATTAAAAGAGTTAAGCGACTTTAACAGTTTAACCCCTCAAAAATTAGAATCAATAATTAAGTGAATAATAACGATATTGGATTAATTTTGATATCAGTTAATTACCAAATATCTTAGATAAACTCATCTTATATCTCAGTGTCAACTTAACAATAAGATATGATTTATAGATTTTCGTTGTTACGTCTGTTTTATTTTGAATATTTTATGTAATATTAGAATTGCATAATATTTTTATTGATAATCACTATTGTCTAACTCATTCATGTACATAATAAACTCATTTTATTTAATTACGTAACTCAAACTAAAAATAAATACCTTGTGGTGGTACAATAACTGAACAATATTTGAATGGGTCACCATTATAACCATTTAAACAAGTACAGACTGGTAAATGGTTAATGACATGACATTCTGCATTTTGACCGCATGTTCCTGGACACGGGTCTCTACACTTATTCATCATACATGCTTTATTGGAAACGCAATCAGAATTAATTGTACATTCTGGTCTACAACTTTCATAAGGATTGCCTATATATTCTGGTAGGCAAGTACACGATCCAGCTCCGTTTTGTTCTTTACATACTGCATTCACACCACATGGTGAAGGTACACATGGATTAATATATTCTTGAGGTATAGGATCTGCTATAAATTAAATTATAATTAATACACAGGAAGTAGATAAATAGCTGTAGAAATAATTTTATGATATTATACCTTGTTGAACTGAACAGAATGTAAATGGATTTCCAACATAACCTTGTTGACAATGACAAGTAGGAGCGTGACTTAAAACTTGACATATAGCATTGACTGCGCATGATCCTGGACAAGGATCTTTGCATTTCATATTCATACATGCTTTGTTATAGGAACATTCACTATTAGTCACACATTCTGGTTTGCAATTTGGAGGAGATCCGATGAACTCAGGCAAACACGAACAAGAAGGTGTTTCTCCTTTTACTTGACATTGTGAATTAGGTCCACACGGTGTTGGGACACATGGATTGCCCACTATTAATGGTATATCAGCAGCTAAATTAAACATTGTTATTTAATTGTTTATTCAAAACTGATAACTCAAAACATTGTAAATAAATTAAATAATTATAATGGTGCAAAGTAACTATTTATAATAAATTATTATTGTCTGATATATTTATGTTATGTATTTTATACTTACGAATTTGGTAGCAATTCATAAAGGCATTTCCTGTATATCCCGTTGGGCAGCTACATATAGGACTGTGGCTTATAACTTGGCATTTAGCATTTATACCACAAGTTCCTGGACACGGGTCTATACATTTTTGATTGGAACATGCTTGATTTTGTCTACAGTCTGAACTTGAAATACATTCAGGCCGGCATAAGGGTGGTAATCCAGTATATCCCGTGACACACGAACAAACTGCTTGTTTATTTACTTCCCTACATTGACTAAATGGTCCACAAGGGGATGGTTTACATGGCTCATATATCTCAGGCTCTAAACAAAAAAATGTATATTTATTATTTCGTGAAAAAAATATTTAATAGTAAATAGTAAATACATACCGTTTTGTTGTGGACTACAAAAAACAAAAGCATTGCCTTGCATTCCTTCTGGACAACGACACATCGGTATATGATTATAAACATCACAAATAGCATTTTGCCCACAAATTCCAGGACAAGGATCTATACATTTATTTTTTATACATGCTTTGTTTCGTGGACAATCATTATTTAGTACACATTCAGGTCTACATCCAGTGTATGGATCTCCCTGGTATTCACTTAAGCATGTGCATACGCCATTATTACACTGAGCATTTGGACCACAAGGTGATGGATTACATGGATCTGAGTAGACTGGAGCTTGAATTACTAATAAAAATAATATATAAAAATAACGATTTAGACATAATATATAAATATTATTAACTACCTGGCTTTATGTCACATTTCGTAAACGGATTTCCTTCATATCCCTCTGGACAAGTACACATAGGTGTATGGTTAATTACATTACATTGTGCACCCCAGCCACATGATCCCGGACATGGGTCTTGGCATTTTTCTCTAATACAAGCTTCATTACTAGGGCATTCGGAATGCATAATGCATTCTGGTCTACAGTTTGGTGGTGATCCAATGTATTGAGCCAAGCAGGAGCATGATGGAGTACCTCCGTTGTCTTGACATACAGCATAGGCTCCACATGGTGATGGTATGCATGGGTTTACATAAATAGGTTCGTTTTGTGGTGGTGGTGGTGGAGGAGGTATAGCATGACAATGTGAAAATGGATCTCCAGTATATCCAGGAGTGCACGAACACACAGGACTATGGTTGAACACCCGGCAGTTAGCATTTTGTGCACACCGATCTTCGCATGGGTTTTTACATTTTTGATTCATACAAGCGAGACTTGCTGAACATTCTGCGTTCAGTACACATTCTGGGCGACATCCGGGAGGACTTCCTACATAGTTTGGTAAACATGAACAAACTGCTTGCTGATTTATTTCTCGACATTGACTATTTGGTCCACAAGGAGATGGTGTACATGGATAAATAGGCTGTACTTCAGTTTCTAAATTTATAAAAACAAAATATTTAATATTTATTGTATATTAATTATAAAAAACTAATTTCTACTCAAGTATTAATTACGTTGTGGTGGTATGATATGGCAGTATCGGAATGGGTCACCAGTATACCCATTATAACATGTGCATGTCGGTGAATGATTAATGACTTGACATTCAGCATTTTGAGCACATGTTCCAGGGCATGGATCTTTACATTTATTACTAATACATGCTTTGTTGGACTGACATTCGGCATTTACAACACATTCAGGCTTACATCCTTCGTATGGATTTCCAAAGTATTCAGGTAGACAAGAACAAGATCCGGCTCCGTTTTGTTCTTTACAAATGGCATTAATGCCACACGGAGATGGCTCACAAGGATTTAAATATTCTTGTGGAATAGGATCAGCTAAAAATGAGTAGTTACGTATTTTAGGCATGTAACAGTAAAAAAAAAAAAAAAAATATTCAATTCAATTTACCTTGAATTATTGTACATTCAGTATACGGGTTTCCAATATGTCCAACAGGGCATGTACATCTTGGTGTATGACTTATTACTCTACATTCAGCACTTGGGGCACAGGCTCCAATGCAAGGATTTTTGCATTTCATGTTTATGCAAGATAAGTGAATTGGACATTCACTATTACTTACACATTCAGGTTTACAATTTGGAGGTGAGCCAATAAATTCAGGTAAACAAGAACATGACGGCGATTCACCTTGCACTTTGCATTGAGAGTTTGGTCCACAAGGCGATGGAATACAAGGATTTCCAACAGGTTGAGGGATATCAGCAGCTATAATAAATTAATATAATTTTAATAGTTATATCATAGTAAATATTTAATTATATGCACTTACGTTTTGGGTAACATCGAACAAATGGATTTCCCGTAAAACTGGGTGCGCAACTACAAATGGGGCTGTGGTTGATAACCTGGCATTTTGAGTTTACACCACATACTCCAATACACGGGTCAATGCATTTTTGATTAGAACAAGCTTTATTACTATTACAATCTGAGTTTACAGTACATTCAGGTCGACATGATGGCGGAACTCCCAAATATCCAATGATACAAGAGCATACAGCTTGACTATTTATTTCTTTACAGTGACTGTTTGGTCCACATGGTGATGGATAACAAGGATGAATATCGATTGGTGCTAAAATTAATTTAATCAAAATTTGTATTAGTTAAATTCATTGAAACTGATGTGACATTATTTTACCTTGTTGTAATGCCGAACATCTAATAAATGCATTTCCTTCTGTTCCTTCTGGACAGCGGCACATTGGTATATGATTATAAACATCACATATAGCATTTTCACCACATGTGTCTTTACATGGATTCATACATTTATTACGAACACAAGCCTTGTCTCTTGGACAGTCATTGTTAATTACACATTCTGGTCTACAACCTGAGTATGGATCTCCAAAGTATTCATTAATACATGAACATTGGCCATTATTACATATTGCGTTTGGTCCACATGGAGATGGATAACATGGGTCTTTTTCAACAGGTTCTGGAACTAAAACATTGCCATGTGGTATTTGATATTTAAATTTGATTTTTAAATTCACTTACTGTCTTGTATTGGTTTTATATAGCACGATGTGAAGGGGTCTCCAATGAAACCTTCACGGCATACACAATTCGGAGTGTGATTTATAACATTGCAGTATGCATCAATACCACAAGATCCTGGACATGGGTCTTGACATTTCTCTCGAATACATGCTAAATTGCTTCGACAGTCATTATTTATCACACATTCAGGTCTACAATTCGGTGGACTACCGAAATATTGTGATAAACATGAACAAGATGGTACTCCACCAATATCTCTACATTCTGAATATAAACCACATGGAGATGGAACACACGGGTTTAAGTACATAACTGCATCTTGTTGTGGTGGCGGTGGTGGTGGAATTAAATAACAACGGGAGAATGGATCGCCTTGATACCCGAGTTGACAGGAACATATTGCATTATGCTTTATAACTTTGCAAATAGCATTTGAACCACACGGTCCAGGACATGGGTTGACACATTTCTGATTAACACATGCGTGAATATCACTGCATTCCGAACTCAATACACATTCAGGTCTACAACCAGGAGGACTTCCATGATACGAAGGGAGACATGAACAAACTGCTTGTCCATTTATTTCTTTACATTGACTATTAGGTCCACATGGTGATGGAACACAAGGAGCATAGGGCTCAGACTGCACAACTAAATATAAAATAATATTATTATATATTAATTATATAACAGAACAAGTACATTGAATCAATTAAAATATTTTCCTTACTTTGAGGAGGTATCAAACTACAGTATTTGAAAGGATCTCCTGTGTAACCATTATAACATGTGCACATAGGAAGGTGATTTATTACTAAACATTCCGCGTTTGGTCCACAAGATCCAGGACAAGGATTTTGGCATTTATTTCGAATACATGCTTTATTAGATGCACAGTCTGTGTTAAGTGTGCATTCATATCTGCATCCATCATAAGGATTTCCTTCAAATCCTGGGAGACAACTACATGAACCAGCGCCGTTTTGTTCTTTACAAACAGCGTTAGTACCACACGGAGAAGGCTCACACGGAGATAAATACTCAGTGGGTACTGGGTCAGCTAAATAATAACAATGACAACATTAAAGAATATTTCCCAAAACAATTCAAGTCTTAACAATAAAACAATCAATAATATTATTTACCTTGTTGAATATAACATTGTATAAATGGATCACCAACATAACCAGATAAACATGAACATCTAGGCACATGACTAACTACTTGACATATAGCATTTTGACCACAAGATCCTGGACACGGATCTTTACATTTCATATAGACACATGCTTTGTTATAGGCACATTCACTATTGCTAATGCATTCTGGTTTGCAATTTGGAGGTGATCCGACGAATTCGGGTAAACATGAACAAGATGGCGTATCTCCTTTTACTTGGCATTGTGAATTAGGTCCACAAGGAGATGGTATACATGGGTTACCCACAGGTTCAGGAAGTGCCACTGAAAATTGATATAAAACAATTATATTACAGAAAACATTTTTGAATTATAAAATTAAATATAATTATGTTTCTGGAGTATTTCATTTCTATCAACTTACATATGGCATGGCAGCGTACGAATGGATCACCAGTCATGCTTGGTGGACAGCTACATATAGGCCTGTGATTTATAACCTGGCATTTAGCTCCAACACCACACGTTCCTATACAAGGATTTCCACACTTTTGGTTTGAACAAGCTTCGGTCAAATAGCAATCCGCATTTATTGTGCATTCTGGTCTACACGATGGTGGGCTACCCACATATCCCACGATGCAAGAACATACCGCTTGATTGTTCATTTCCCTACATTGACTGTTGGGTCCGCAAGGTGATGGATTACATGGCTGATTAATAATTGGATCTACAAATTAAAAAATGGTTAAATGAAATTCGAAACATTCAATATTCTTATAGTTGTATTAATATTTCATAACATACGAATATATTATAATATATATATGTGCACATACCTTGTAATATTGGTTGACATTGAGTAAAGGCGTCGCCTGCTAATCCTTCTGGGCATCGACACATGGGTATATGGTTATATACTTCACATATGGCATTGTAGCCACACGTCCCTGGACATGGATTTATACATTTATTTCGGATACAAGCTTTATCCCTTGAGCATTCGTCGTTAAGAACACATTCTGGTCTACATCCAGTATATGGATCTCCATGGTATTCAGGAAGACATGTACAAAGTCCATTATTACATATTGCGTTTGTACCACACGGAGATGGACTACATGGGTCTGTTTCTACGTCAGCAATAGGAGCTTGGGGTTTCAGATAGCAACTCACAAATGGATCACCAGTAAATCCATCAGGGCATTGACAAATAGGAACGTGATTCAATACGTTACAAACCGATCCAATTCCACATGAACCGGGACATGGGTCTCGACATTTCTCTTTCATGCACGCATTATTGCTTGGACATTCTGCATTGATCGAACACTCTGGCCTACAATTTGGCGGACTTCCCGTGTATTGTGGTTGGCAACTACATGAAGGATAATTTCCGTAGTTTCTACACTCAGAATATGGCCCACACGGAGACGGCACACAAGGATTTGTTGGTATTGGTTCATCTTGTGGTGGTGTTGGTAACGGTGGAATTAGATAACATCTGGAGAACGGGTCTCCAGTATATCCAGGGCTACATGTACATATTGGTCGATGTTTGATAGTCTTACATTGTGTATTTTGACCACATTGTCCAATGCAAGGATCGACACAGTGTTGATTTACGCATGCAAGATTTTGTGAACAATCCTGACTGATGAGACATTCAGGACGACAATTTGGTGGACTTCCAATATAGTTCGATAAACATGAGCATACGGCTTGGAAGTTGACTTCTCGGCATTGACTGTGTGGTCCACACGGAGAAGGTGAACACGGGTGTATTGGTTCATTTTGGATTGCTAAAAGTTATCAAGAAGTTATTGTAAATCATTATTGAACGTATAACCTCTAGGAATGAAGTGCATGCGTTAGGTACAGTTACGTATGAGGAATAAATGTGAATTCTATAATATTATATTATGATAAAAAAATAAATATACACAAGGTTAATAATGCATATTGAAATAACTTACGTGGAGTTGGAATTATACTGCAATATTTATACGGATCTCCTGTGTATCCATAATTACACGAGCATGTCGGTGAATGGTTGTAAACGTGACAAATTGCAGATTGGGCACATGTTCCTGGACATGGATCTAAGCATTTATTTCCCATACAAGCTTTATTCGATGGACAATCAGTGTTTACTGTACACTCGGGTCTACAGAGTTCATAAGGATTTCCAAAATACTCTTGTAAACAACTACAGGATCCAGCACCATTTCGCTCTTTGCAAATAGCATTTGCTCCACAAGGTGATGGAATACAAGGGTTCAAGGTCTCTTCAATTGGTTCTGCTGTAATTAAATAAACACATAACAACAATATTAAATATATGGTTTTCTAATAAATAATTATATAAAATTACCATTTTAAAGCTCATATTTATATTTTATATTTACCTTGTTGTATTGTGCATTGAGTGAAAGGATCTCCAATAAACCCTGGATAGCAGGTACACTGAGGAGAGTGACTTACAACGTTACATTGTGCATTTTGTCCACAGGTACCAGGACAAGGATCTTTACATTTCATATTTTTACATGCTAAATGATATGGACATTCTCCATTACTAATGCACTCGGGTTTGCAGTTCGGTGGTGAACCAATAAAGTCAGGTAAACAAGAACATGAAGGCGATTGTCCTTTAACTTGACATTGTGAATTGGGTCCACACGGAGATGGAACACATGGATGTTCTACAGGTAATGGGTCTTGAACCGCTTAACAAAAATAAAAAAAACAGTTATATAAATACATAGTTAAACCGTAACCAATACAATAGTTAGATACAGATTATAAAATAGTTTAATAGAACTAAATAGCTATAATTTTTTACTTACGTATTGGACGGCAGTTAGAAAATGGATTTCCCGTCTGTCCTGGAGGACAACTACAGATAGGTTTATGGTTATATACACGGCAGATTGCTCCTATTCCACAAACACCACGGCATGGATCATGACATTTTTGGTTTGAACATGCTTCATTTAAGTTACAATCAGAATTTATTGTACATTCTGGTCTACACGATGGTGGTACTCCTAAATAGCCGATTGTACACGAACATACAGCTTGTCCATTAATTTCTCGGCATTGACTGTTAGGTCCGCATGGGGTTGGATAGCATGGATTTGTGTTCGTTACCGGGATCACATCTTTTAAATAAGAATGAATTATAGAAACATCAAACTGTATATTTCATATTTATTTTTAAACTCACCTTGTTGTACTAAACAATTGATAAAAGCATTTCCATACATTCCATCAGGACATCTACACATTGGTATATGATTATAAACTTCACAGATGGCATTCGTTCCACAGGTTCCAGGGCATGGGTCTTTGCATTTATTTTTTATGCATGCTTTGTTTCTGGGACAATCGTTATTTAGTACACATTCAGGTCTACATCCAGAGTATGGATCACCTTGGAATTCAGGTTTACATTTACAAACACCATTATAGCAATCAGAATTAGGACCACAAGGCGATGGATTACATGGGTCTGAATACACTGGTTCTGGAACTATATAATTTGATTAATTAAGTTTAATTGAATTAAATATTATGATGTATTTAAATTTACCATCCATGGGTTTCGGTCTGCAATTTTCAAAAGGATTGCCTTCATAGTTATCAGGACACAAGCACATTGGTGTATGGTTTACTACATTACATAAAGCATTTACACCACATGACCCAGGACAAGGATCTTGACATTTTTGCTTCATACACGCTTTATCTCTGGGGCATTCTGCATTAATTGTACATTCATAACGGCAATTTGGAGGACTTCCTATGTATTCAGCTAAACATGAACATGACGGATAGCCATTCTGTTCTCTACATTGAGAATAAGGACCACATGGTGATGGAACGCAGGGGTTTACATAAACTGGATCAAACTGTGGTGGAGGTGGAGGTATTTGATAGCAGCGAATAAATGGATCTCCAGTAAAACCATTGATACACGAACACACAGGACTGTGGTTGATAACTTTGCAGTTAGAATTTTGTCCACATGGTTCAGGACAAGGATTTGAACACTTCTGTTTTATGCATGCTTTATTCGAAGCACACTCTGAATTTGTTACACATTCTGGTCTACATCCAGGCGGGCTCCCTACGTAAGTCGGTAGGCAGGAGCAAACAGCTTGATGGTTAATTTCCCGACATTGACTATTTGGCCCACATGGAGAAGGTGAACATGGATTAATTGGTTCGATTTCAGTTTCTATTAAAAATAGTCAGATATATATATAAGTATATTATTTAGTTACGAATGATAACGGTATTAACATATATCAACATACGTTGTGGAGGAGGTATTTGATGACAGTGTCTAAATGGATCACCAGTATATCCTTGATAGCAAGAACACATGGGCAAATGATTAACTACTTGACATTCTGCATTTTGACCACATGTTCCTGGACATGGGTTTTTACACTTGTAATTAGAGCATGCTTTGTTAGACGCACAGTCTGTATTCAAAACACATTCCGGTCTACATCCTTCATATGGATTTCCATAGTATTCAGGCAAGCAAGTACACGATCCAGCTCCATTTTGTTCTTTACAAATTGCATTTGTCCCACAGGGGGATGGTACACATGGATTTAAATACTCTTGTGGTACTGGATCGGCTGAATAGAAAAGTATAATTAATTTAAGACGATAAAAATTATTTTATCTTATGATTTTTACCTTGTTGTACAATGCATTGCGTGAAAGGATCTCCTACGTATCCAATTGGACAAGTGCATATTGGCGAATGGCTTACTACATGGCATTCGGCATTTGGTGCGCATGAACCTGGGCAAGGATCTTTACATTTCATATTAGCACAAGCTAAATTATATGAGCACTCGCTGTTGGTAATACATTCCGGCTTGCAATTTGGAGGTGATCCGATGAAATTAGGTAGGCATGAGCATGATGGCGATTCACCTTGAACCTTACACTGCGAATTCGGTCCACAAGGAGACGGAATGCAAGGATTACCAACGTATTGTGGTAAATCGGCTGCTATATTTCAAATGTAGTTATTAATAATACTCTTTTAATTAATATAAATGTATTTTATCTTTATTTATTACATACGTTTATTATAACATCTTGTAAATGGATCACCGATTAATCCTGGTGGACAACTACAAATTGGATTATGATTTATGACTTGACATTTTGCACTTATTCCACAAATACTAGGACATGGATTTCGACACTTTTGATTCGAACAAGCTTCATTTAGACCACAGTCGGAATTGATTGTACATTCAGGTCTACATAAAGGTGGTGCACCCAAGTATCCAGATATGCATGAACACACCGCTACACCATTCATTTGTTTACATTGGCTATTTGGTCCACAAGGAGATGGAGCACATGGGTTGATAACTTCAACGGATGCTGAAATTATATAAATATATTTGTATTTATAAATATGTTATTTAATATACTAGGTGACTACATTTTTTCGTGTTGAATGACATAATTTTTTTTACCTTGGATAGGTGTGCATTGAATAAATGCATTTCCATTCATGCCTTGGGGACATGTACACATCGGAATATGATTGTAAACATTACAAATTGCATTTAATCCACATGTTCCTTGGCATGGATTTTTACATTTATTATTGATGCAAGCTTTAATAATGGGACAATCTGTATTTAAAATACATTCTGGACGACAGCCAGAGTATGGATCGCCTTGATATTCACTCAAGCAAGAGCAAACACCATTATTACATAATGCATTTGATCCACATGGGGACGGATTACATGGATCATCATATTGTGGCTTAGGAGCTATGAATTAAAATTATTGAAATTGATTATTAATGCTTTGATACACCTAATCATAAGATCTACAATCTAAAGTGAAAAAAACTACTTACGAGATGTTGGTTTTATATAGCAACTGGTAAACGGATCTCCTGTGTAACCATCAATACATGAGCATATTGGGTTATGATTATAAACGTTACAATTAGCATTAACACCACATGATCCTGGACATGGGTCTTGGCATTTTTGCTTCATACAAGCCTTATCTTTTGGACATTCTTCGTTTATTGTACACTCAGGTCTACAATTTGGTGGTGAACCAATATAATTCTCTTGGCATGAACAAGAAGGATATCCATTGGAATCTTTACAATATGAGTATAGGCCACATGGTGATGGTATACATGGGTTAATTGGTTCATTTTGTATTGGTGGAGATGGCAAGTCTGTTATTTGATTAATAAATATCATGTTGTAATAATAATAAGGATAAGAGAAAACATTTTTTATAGTAATAAAAAAATAAACTAAGAAAAGTTAAACTTACATTGTATGGCATAACAGCTTGAAAATGGATCGCCAGTAAATCCTTCTTTACATGAACATATAGGGCTATGATTTATTACTTTACATTTTGAATTAGACCCACAAGCATTTAAACAAGGGTCAACACATTTTAAATTTCGGCACGCTTTGGGTTTGCCACATTCTGAGTTGACTACACACTCTGGTCTACAGTTTGGAGGACTCCCCACATATGATTGTAGACATGAACACACTGCTTGGTAATTTATTTCCTTACATTGACTGTTTGGTCCACATGGTGATGGAACACAAGGATTAATTGGATCCGCTTGTGGTTCTACACATATATTATAATAAGTATGATTTATTCCCTATATACAAATATAATACATCTAATTATAATACATACGTTGTGGTGGTGGAGCTAGGATGCAGTACTTATACGGATCACCGGTAAAACCTGGTATACAAGTACAAGATGGCAAATGATTAGTCACGTAGCATTCTGCGTTTTGACCACAAGTTCCAGCGCACGGATTTTGACATTTATTTTTCACACAAGCTTTTTGAGGTGTGCAGTCAGAGTTTATAACACATTCAGGCCTACAGCCTTCATATGGATTTCCATTATATTCTGGTAAACAACTACACGAACCAGCACCATTATACTCTTTGCATATAGCGTTCATTCCACAGGGGGAAGGAATGCATGGGTTTAGAGGTTCTTGGTATACTGGTAGCACTATAATTATAATTACAAAGATAATATTATTATTTGGAGATAAAGCCACAAGAAGGTATTAAATAACTCTATTAGTAGTACTCACCATTTAATATAAGTTTATTGTTATACAATTATTTAGTAAGCTCTAACTCTTCTTATACATCTGTTACATGATTAGTGATAGCTATTCAAAAATTGAGCAGATAATATAATCAACATCATTTTGGAAAGAATTACCTATGTTAGGTCTAAAACAATAATTATCATGGCATCGTAATACTTAAGGTATAAACAACTCGATAAGATTTTCTTACCTCTATATATTCTGAAAACATTTAGTTAATTCTTATAACTTAAGTACTAAAAATGACTTACCGATCTTAAATTTAATTAATAACTAACTAAACATATTCAACTTGAGATACTAAATATAAATTACTATTCTATTTACTTATAAATACATACAATTAAGTATTATTAAGTAACTTAATGCATACCAGGTAAATTCAACGTCTCTAGCTTAAAAATAGATAAATATGTTTTTTTGAATGCTACTAAATATTACTTTTGCATTAAAATGTCATGAAAAGTATTTTCGAACAATCCTAAATTACATGCAAACATAAATAAGTAACGTTATATACATTTTAAAAAGTACTGAAATATTTGAATCAAAATTTAGTGCATACCAAATTATTTGACTACAGAACAAAATTCATAGTATATAGTTTTAAAATTTAACATTCAAAGCTTAAGAAATGTATATACAATTTAACTTAAAATTATTAAATAGAACTCTTATCATGCTCACAAGATGCAACATTAAACATATATACTCTTGATTTTAAAGATATTTAATTCATTCTCTTCAAAAAATTGTTCATGCACTAAGCAAACATTTTTTTAAGAAATTATGTAAAACATAATCTTATTATACTCGATTAAAATTCAATGACAGCATGCCATCCATTTTAAGACTACATTAATGTTCATGTGTGATTTACTTTAATGCTTATATTTTCATTGCATTATATTTATGATTATATAATTTTATGATGTACTGTTTATGTTTTGTTTTTTTTTTTTTTTTTGATATAGAGGGGTGATATATTCTAGTAAAATGTATTTTATTATATGACAGGTAAATGATTATATGAACTCATTAAACTAATCTGCTCAACCGTTGATTGGGGGAAAGTATTAATAATGGTAGTAATGTTTTAGACATTTTATTATACATTAGCTTTATTAATAAATGGGAAAATATTTTAATATGTTATTGAAAAAAAAATGATTATCAAGTGATAGTGTCATAGTTGTGATTTTTATTATTAATGTTTTAAAATTTTAATACGGGCTATGATAAGTTATTTGTAAAATATTAATTTAAGTTACCGTGTACTTATATTATTTTTTTAATTTTTCGATGTAAACCATAAATCAAAAATGCATCAATAGGTACTAAAAACATATGTTAATGAAGCAAGCATTATAAAAAAAAATTTGTTCATTTTAAATTGTAATGCGTGTTTAAACTCAAATGTGCAAAGCATATTCATGCAAATATGTTAAAATCTTACCCGGGACTGATTGACAATATGTAAACGGATCTCCAGTAAATCCATTATTGCAAGAGCACATGGGAGTGTGATTAATCACAGAACATGCAGCATTTGAGCCACATGAACCAGGGCAAGGGTCTGTACACTTTTGATTAATACATGATAAATGGCTAGGACATTCTGGATTAATTGTACATTCCGGTCTGCACGATGGTGGCGTTCCAACATAATTTGACAAGCACGAGCACGCTGGTGCTCCTCCGCGATCTCTACACTCAGAATTGGGTCCACACGGTGATGGGACACAAACATTAATTGGATCAGCTGATGGTGTAGGTCTTACTTCTGGAATAAGTTAATATAGTATTTTAAATATAAAATTTAAATATTATATTCAATAAATATATTACCTTGAACAGGATAACAACTCCTAAATGGATCTCCACTATGCTGTGGCGGGCAAGTACAAATAGGACTATGATTAACTACTTTACAGTTAGCAAGGTGACCACAAGTTCCAGGACATGGATCACGGCATTTGCTCATGAGACATGCTTGAGTTAAAGGACACTCTGCACTAACAACACATTCTGGTCGACAAGAAGGTGGTGAACCGATCATACTATTTTGACAGGAACAGACAGCATGTCCTTCTACTACACGACAAACACTGTTTGGCCCACACGGAGAAGGATTACATGGGTCTCTAGATGGTTCGTCTATAAGAACATTTATGTAATTATCATTTTTTTTTTTTTTGTTTATATAATTTGATTTATACCTTGAACTTTAATGGGTCTACAAATAACAAATGCATCGCCAGCTGTACCAGTTGGGCAACTGCAGGTTGGAATATGGTTAATGACATCACATATGGCACCTTGACCACAAGTGCCTGGACAAGGATCCTGACACTTTTGGTTTAAACATGCTTTATTCCTTGGACAATCGGTGTTCATTGTACACTCAGGCCGACAACCTATTAATGGATCTCCGAAATAGTTGGTCAGGCATTGACAAACTCCATTGTAACATTGAGTATTGGATCCACACGGTGATGGATTACATGGATCGGTAGGGGTGGCTAGTGTTGGTTGTTCTAAAAATAATATTTTATAATTATAATAACAAATAATCAAATAAGTAAATTATTATTGTACCTATTATTGGAATACATTGTGTAAATGGATCACCGTTGTGTCCAGAGATACATGTACAAGTTGGTATATGATTTTGAACTCTACAGTCTGTATTTAAACCACAAGATCCATAACATGGATCTCTACATTTATCTGATATACAAGATAACATGGAAGGACAGTCAGAATTAACGGAACATTCGGGTCGACAATTTGGCGGAGCACCGATGTAATTTATTCGACACGAACATGATGGTTGATTTCCAACTGGTCTACACTCAGAATTCGGTCCACATGGCGAGGGAATACAAGGATTTGTTGGTATCACCGGTTCATCTAGTGGTTTCACTGTGTGATAAACAGTCAATTAAGTATTTTATTCATATAACAAATTATTATTCATATATACTATATAGGCTAGGCAAACCTTTAACACAAATTGAGTATCTCAGTTAATGATTTTGGATTCTACATATAAAATTAAGATTATACATTAATATCTAACCTGGTTGTGGATAACATCTTGTGAAAGGATCTCCAATTAAACCAGGCGAACATGTGCAAATTGGACTGTGATTAATAACTTCACAACGAGCATTTAGTCCACAGGTTCCAGGACAAGGGTCTGTGCATTTGAATTTATGACAAGCTCTATTCGATGGACATTCATTGTTTACGACACACTCTGGTCTACAATTTGGTGGAGTTCCTTGGTATTCTATTTGACAAGAGCATACTCCTTGTTGGTTTACATTTTTACATTGGCTGTTAGGGCCGCAAGGTGATGGATGACAAGGGTCATACACTGTTGCTTGAGTTGCTAGTAATATAAATATTTACCAATTTAAAAATATTATTTATCAAAAGTTAAAAAATAAATATTTTACTTGGAGGTTGAGGTTGGCAGTACGTGAATGGATTTCCTATATACCCAGATATACAGTTGCAAGTTGGAACATGACTAATAACTGTGCAAACGGCATCTACTCCGCATACACCGGGACAAGGATCCACACATTTATTTCCAATACATGCCTTATTTGTTGGACAGTCTGAACTGTGAACACATTCAGGTCGGCAACCCTCATATGGGTTTCCATAATAATCATTAATGCAAGAACAAGATCCGGCCCCATCTTGTTGTTTACATATTGCATTTGCACCACATGGAGATGGTTCACATGGATTTAAATTTTCTAAATATGTAAAAGAAATTTAGTAATAATTTAGCTAGATCTATTGATGCAATAGTAACATACCTTGTTGATAAATACATTGAACAAATGGATTTCCTGTAAATCCAGAGGGACATAGACACGAAACTGCATGATTAACAACTTGGCAATGGGCATCACTTCCACAAGATCCTGGACACGGATCTCTACATTTGTTGTTAATGCAAGCAAGAGTTGATGGACAATCTGGGTTTATTATACATTCTGGTCGACAATTTGGCGGAGCACCAATATAAGATGGTAAACATGAACATGATGGGTTATTTCCTGAAGCTATACATTGAGAATTTGGACCACACGGCGAAGGGACACATGGAAGTTTCGGTGGATCGTTTTGAGGTGGAAGAACTGGTTCTAAAAATGTTAATTGATAAATACAATTTATGTTCAACAATTAATAAATAATTTGTTAGTATTTACTCGGTATCGTATAACAGCTTCGGAATGGATCTCCAGTTTGTCCTTCTCTACAACTGCAGATTGGACTATGATTAATTACTTCACACCTAGCTCCAGAACCACAAGCTCCTACACACGGGTTGATACACTTCATGTTTACACATGCTTTGTCTGGATTACATTCAGAACTGACAGTACATTCTGGGCGGCATGATGGAGGCGCACCAATGTAATTTGGTAAACAAGAACACACTGCATGATTATCTGAGTTTCGACATTGGCTATAAGCACCACACGGTGATGGACTACACGGGTCACTTGATACAGGAACATCTAAATAAATCCAAACAAAATTTTAATTTTAAACAACTATGCATAAGATTAAAATTTTTGATTTTTACCATCTGGAACAGGTCGACAGATTGTGAACGGATCTCCTGAATATTTGGTCGGGCATGAACAAATTGGAATGTGATTCACTACATCACAATTGGCACCTTGACCGCAAGTTCCAACACATGGATCGCTACATTTATTTCTCATACATGCCTTGTCTCTAGAACATTCGGTGTTTAACACACACTCTGGACGACAATTCTCATATGGGTTTCCTGTATATTCTGGCAAGCACTCGCAATTTCCATTTCCTTTGCAGATCGCATTTGGCCCACAAGGTGATGGATTACAAGGATCAGATGCTAATGGTCTCTCGGTAGCTTTTATGAAAATATAAATATATATCAATAAGAATTTAATATCCAGTTTAAATCTAAAAATATTTTACATACTTATTTGTATTTGTGTACAAAAGTCAAATGGATCTCCTGTTAGACCATTATTACAAGTACAAATTGGAATATGATTTAGTACGTGACAATTTGCATTTAATCCACATGAACCTATACATGGGTCACGACATTTTTGGTTCATACAAGCCAATTGACTTGGGCATTCAGCACTTATAACACATTCAGGTCTGCATGAAGGTGGTGAGCCAATGAATTCTGGTAGACATGAGCATACAGGGATTCCATTTTGTATCTGGCATTGTGAATTAGGTCCACAAGGTGTTGGATAACACGATGCTGGACGTTCGGTTACTGGAGGTGTTGGTGTAGTAGCTGAAAATACATTATAAAGATTACCTCATTTAGTTAAAGTTTATTTTTTAATTCTTACGTATTAAGGAACAATATGAGAACGGATCTCCAGAATATCCAGCTGGGCATGCACAAATTGGGTTATGATTTCGCACAGTACACAAGGCTTGTATTCCGCAAGTATTTGGACAAGGATCCAAACATTTTTGATTTGTACAAGCTTTGTCTAAAGGACATTCTGAACTGACAACACATTCAGGTCTACATACTGGTGGACTACCCATATAATTTGGCAAGCAAGAGCAAACGGCTTGATCATTAATTTTACGACACTGGCTGTTAGGTCCACACGGGGATGGATGGCATGGGTCAATCGGTTCTCTTTGTGTTGCTGTAGTTACAATAGTACAATTATAAATATAATATATTTTATAAGCTCTAAAATACAGTTTTATTGTTTAAAAAAAATACTAACGTATAACTGGTATCGGACGACAAGAAGTAAATGGATCACCAGTAAAAGATGGTGGACAAGAGCAAATAGGTATATGTTTCACAACTGTACATAATGCCTCAGAACCACATGTTCCTGGACAAGGATCTATGCATTTATAACCAATGCAAGCCAAGGCCAAATTACAATCGTCGTTGTTTTCACATTCTCTTCGGCATCCTGTGTAAGGATCACCGAAGAATCCTGTAGAGCACGTACAAGCAGCTACTCCATTTCGGTTGACACAATCTGAATTTGGACCACATGGTGATGGATAACAAGGATCTACAGCTTCTGGTGATCTTTCGGTAGCTATACAAGTTAATAAAAATATGTTGGTCTACATGCATTGAAACAAATACTCGTAAAAATATTCTATTCATTTAAAGTATTATTAAAATTTAAAACTAATCTATCGTTGAGTAAATAATATATGTCGTAAGTATAACGTGTACATAGTAGTAGTTTTTGTTCTTACAGGTAGGTAATAGTTGGCAATATGTAAGCGCATCGCCAGTGTACCCAGGTAAACAAGTACAAACTGGGTGGTGATTGATAACTCTACAATGAGCATATTGTCCACATGATCCTGGGCATGGATCAGAGCATTTTTCATTGATACATGCCAAGTTACTTGAGCATTCCGCGCTAATAACACACTCGGGCCTACAATTGGGTGGCCGACCAATGTAGTTTTGCAAACAAGAACATGCAGCTGTATTGCTCACCACTCTACATTGAGAGTGAGGTCCACAAGGTGACGGAGAGCAAGGGGCTGTAGGCGGTGAAGGAGTGGTTGTGGCTAAAGTGAGAAAAAGAAAAAAAGAAAAACATGCAACAGAGTTTCAGACAGTAATACAAGAAATCACATATATCATATTTTTCATGCAATAGAATAAAGAAATGCAAAAGATTTTCAAGTAAAAAGTACCAAACATTCACTATACAATTCTTACGTTGTATTTTATTGCAAGAAGCAAAAGGATCGCCCGTATATCCGGGGGAACAGCTACAAATGGGATTGTGATTTACTACTTGACACCTTGTATTCAGGCCGCAAGTACCAATGCAGGGGTCGCTACATTTTTGATTAACACAAGCTTTGTTTTGACTACACTCTGAACTGACAACGCATTCAGGACGACAAGATGGGGGTGTACCGATAAAAGAACTTAAACAAGAACAGACGGCATGGTCGTTTAGTTCTCTGCATTGACTGTTAGGTCCACATGGAGATGGAACACACGGATCTATCGGCGTAGCTTCAGCTAAAAAAGTTAAGTCAAAACAAAATATTTATATATGGTAATTACTATTCATAGGGAAATAAATTATATCCTTACTTATGGGTATAACCTGGCATATGCTCAACGGATCACCAGTGTATCCAGGTACACAACTGCACGAAGGTGCGTGGTTTAGAACTTTACATTCTGCGTTAAGGCCACATGTTCCAGGACATGGATCCTTACATTTGTTATTTGCACATGCTTTTGTACGATCACAATCTGCATTTGTAACACATTCAGGTCTACATCCCGTGTATGGATCACCGAAATATTCAGGGAGACAAGCACAAGAACCGGCTCCGTTCTTTTCTCGACAAATAGCATTAGCTCCACATGGAGACGGATTACATGGATCCCTCGGTCCTTCAGTAGGAGGAACTATAACAAATACAAATCATGAAGAGTTATTAAAATAGAGACATTCTACCAGTTAATATATATGTTTATATTACTTTGTTGAACTATGGAACACCCAGCAAATGGATCTCCAGTATATCCAGTTTCACAAGTACACTGTGGTCTATGGTTACGTGTTACACAAGTTGCGTGTACCCCACAAGAACCAGGACAAGGATCTTTGCAACGTTCGTTTAAGCAAGCAAGATTTCCTGGACATTCTGCATTTATCGAACATTCTGGGCGACAGTTTGGTGGTCTTCCTATATAATTTGGCTGACAAGAGCATGCTGGTGTTGAGCCAACTTCACGGCATATGGAATTCAGACCACATGGAGATGGAACACAAGGGTTTCCACTTGGTGGTGGCTGAGTTGGTCGTGCTGTAATTAAAAAAAAAAAAAAAATAATTACATTATCAAGCAATTTTATAGTTGATTGATAAATACTTTAATACATTTATATGCTTTAAATACATAAATAATTTATAAAAATATTTATTTTTAAATTAAATTTAGGTTAATTATTTTATAATTATATAAAATATTTAAAATTATTTATTTAAATTATTTAGAAATCATTTATTCAAATTGTTTTTTATTTGTATAGTTTTAGATATATATAAACTTACGTTCTGATTTGCATTGAACAAATGGATCACCAATTAAACCACTTGGACAACTGCAAATTGGATTGTGATTTATGACTTGGCACCTGGCTCCTATACCACATATTCCAATACAAGGGTCTGAACATTTTTGATTAATACAAGCTCTGTTTTGAGGACATTCTGAACTAACTACACATTCTGGACGACAACCCGGAGGAGTACCAATATAGTTAGTTTGACAAGAACATACTGCATGGTCATTCACAGTTCTACATACGCTATAAGGCCCACATGGTGATGGTTCACATGGATTCTTAGGTATTTCATCCACTATAAATAAAATATAAAAATTAGAATGCTTATATTAAACATTTTAGACAAATTATATAAATCTTACTTGGTGGTGGCATATGACATGCGGTAATAGGATTGCCAGTATAACCTGGGAAACATGTACACGATGGTGTGTGATTGATAACACTACAATCTGCATTAAGTCCACAAGTACCAGGACAAGGATCACGGCATTTATTATTTACGCATGCTTTACTCCTATCACATTCTGAATTAGTGACACATTCTGGTCTACATCCCGTGTAAGGATCTCCAAAATATTCTGGTAAACATATACAAGATCCTGCTCCATTACGTTCTTTGCATATAGCGTTTGCTCCACATGGCGATGGGTTACAGGGCATTTTAGGTCCTTCAGTTGGAACAACTAAAATTTTAAACATAATTAAAAAAAATATCAAAAATAAGATATTATTATAATTTGTTTTGTACAAAATAAACATACCTTGTTGTATTAATGAACATCCAGCAAATGGATCTCCTGTATAACCTGGTTCACAGTTACATTGTGGACTATGGTTTATTGTTACACACGTGGCATATATTCCACATGAACCAGGACATGGGTCTTTACATCTTTCTTTTGAACATGCTAAATTTCCTGGGCATTCAGCATTGATGGTACATTCTGGTCGACAATTAGGTGGTCGTCCAATGTAACTGTCCAAACATGAACATGCTGGGGTGTGACCAATTTCACGACATACCGAATTTGGACCACATGGAGATGGCACACATGGATTGGTTGGTATATCAGCTGGTGGTGGTTCTATATATAACATACATATTCAGATAAATATTGTTTCAAAACGTTTAATGTACAATTTGAGTTGAATAAGAAATACGTACGTTCTTTGAAGCACCTTACAAATGGATCTCCGTTATAACCGGGAGGACAACTGCAAATTGGATTATGATTGACCACTTGACATCTTCCATTTGATCCACATGTACCAGGACATGGGTCTATACATTTCTTTCTAACACATGCTTTATCTTGTGGACATTCAGAGCTCACCATACACTCTGGCCGACATGATGGTGGCGTTCCAATGTAATCTGTTTGGCATGAACATACAGCATGATTATTGACAGGTCTGCATTGACTGTAAGGGCCACACGGTGAAGGGATACATGGATTTGTGGGTGGTTCTGGATCAACTAAAAATAACAATTGAATATTATTTATAAATATAGAATGAGTAATAAAATTCAATCATTAATGAAAAATACTACTAGATAGTAGATAATATTATACATACGTAATGGTTGAATGTAGCAAGATAACGTTGGATCTCCAGTATAACCCACTGGGCAATAGCAAGACGGTGAGTGGTTAATAACTCTGCATTCTGCATTCAAACCACAGACTCCTGGACATGGATCGCGACATTTATTGTTCATACAAGATTTACTACGATCACAATCAGAATTGGTCACACATTCGGGCCTACATCCAGTATATGGATCTCCAAAATATTCTGGTAAGCACGAACAAGAACCAGCACCATTCCGTTCTTTACATACTGCATTTGCTCCACATGGTGATGGATTGCAAGGCATCTTTGGCCCTTCAGTTGGAACTAAAAAATTTTCAAATATAAATACATAATTATATAGGTATAGGTACATCAAAAAATATATTTTTAAACGTTGATACCGATTAATAATTGTCTTACTTTGTTGTATGAGTGAACATCCACTAAATGGATCTCCAGTGTATCCATTTTGACAAACACACTGAGGTACATGTTTTACTGTATTACATGTTGCGTATATTCCACATGAGCCAGGACATGGATCTCGACATTTTTCGTTAACACAAGCGAGATTTCCAGGGCATTCGGCATTAATTGTACATTCTGGGCGGCAATTTGGTGGCCGACCAATATAATTAGACAAACATGAACATGCAGGAGTTCCACTGTGATCGCGGCATAAAGAATTAGGTCCACATGGAGATGGAACGCACGGATTAGTTGGAATTGATGGTTCATCGTAATATGTTGGTTCTAACAAATTAAAGGAATTATAGATTATGAAGTTATATTTTTTTATATTAGTACGAACTTTCTTGTAAGCATCGGACAAATGGATCACCAGTATATCCAGCTGAACAGCTACATATAGGATTGTGGTTGACAACTTGACACCGCGCATTGAGGCCACAGGTTCCGGGACATGGGTCTACGCATTTTTGATTGACACATGCCTTATCTTGAGCACATTCAGAACTAACCATACATTCTGGATGACAAGCTGGGGGTGTACCGATATAATTTGTTTGACATGAACAAACAGCATGGTCATTTATTGTCCTGCATTGACTGTACGGGCCACAAGGTGAAGGTATGCAAGGGTTTTTAGGTGGTAGATCTGGGCCTAAAAGTGGGCATAGCACAAAGAAAAACATGCAACGTACAATAGAGACAGATAAGAATGAAGACACGGTTTAAAATACCAATGCATGCAAAGTAAAAACAAGCTAATAAGTAGATAGTAAGGGAAGAAATCTTACTGGCAACTGGGAGAAGTTGACAAGCAGACAATGGATTGCCAGTATATCCTGGAAGACAAGCACATGAAGGAGAATGGTTGATAACTCTGCATTCAGCATATAAACCACACATTCCTGGACATGGGTCACGACACTTATTGTTTATGCAAGCTCTGTCTCTAGGACATTCACTATTTAGCACGCACTCTGGTCTACATCCTGTATAAGGATCCCCTGTATATTCAGGAATACATGTACAAGATCCAGCATTATTTCTTTCTTTGCAAATAGCATTTGCCCCACATGGTGATGGGTTACACGGATCACTTGGCACATCAGCTGGTGGTGGTACTAAAATGGGAAAATTTGTGTTGCAATTTGTGTGTATGGTGTATTTGTGATCTATTGGTTTAATCAACGATACCTCAAGTAACTTTATATCTTAATAAATACTCTAATAAGTTGCATAATAATATTTTAATAATAATCCTTACGTGAAATTTGTGTCGGTCGGCAGGCTATAAATGGATCACCGGTATACCCGTCATTGCATTTACATACAGGATTATGGGAAATCACTTTACAAAAGGCGTTGATACCACAGGAACCAGGACAAGGATCTATACACCTTTCATTAACACAAGCTAAATTGCCAAAGCATTCGGCATTTATTGTGCATTCTGGTCTGCAGCAAGGAGGTCGACCAATATAGTTTGGTAAACAAGAACAGGTAGGAGTATAATCTTTGGGATGACATATAGAATTTGGACCACATGGTGATGGAACACAAGGGTTCTGTGGTAGTCTATCCTGTTCTGGTGGCGGAGGCTCTAAACATACCCCATGCATCAAATCAATAATATGCTACATATAAAGCAACTAAAAGCATAACTACGGCATTCTTACTTTCAATAATAGCACAACGAACAAATGGATCACCGTAATAACCTGAATAGCAACTACATATCGGACTATGATTAACAACTCGACATTGTGCGTTGTAACCACATGTGCCTGGACATGGGTCTGAACAGATTTGATTTACACATGATTTATCTTGTGGACAATCTGAACTAGTTATGCACTCTGGATGACAATTTGGAGGATTTCCAAAGTATCCAGGTAAACAAGAGCATACTGCATGGCCATTTACAGCTCGACACTGACTGTATTGCCCACAAGGCGATTTCATGCAAGGGTTTTTCGTAATAACCAAATCAACTTCACATGCTATGTAATAAAATAAGTATAAAAAGAGAATCTAAAGGAAAGCAATAGCAATATATACAACTCTTACTTGGATCAAACTCAATTTTATGACATGATAATAAAGCACTTCCGGTGTACCCTTGCAAACAATAGCAAGTCGGAGCATGGTTGCTGACCTTGCATTCAGCATATAAACCACAAGCACCAATACAAGGATCTATACATTTGTAATTGATGCATGCTTTATTCCAAGCGCAATCGAGATTGTTTACACATTCTGGTCGACATCCAGAGTAAGGATCGCCAAAATATTCTGGGATACATGAACAAGAACCGGCACCATTTGATTCTTTACACACAGCGTTTGCTCCACACGGTGAAGGGTTGCAAGGAGTTACAGGCGTATAATCGAAAGCTAAAAAACGATTATAAATACTCTACATTCTAATGCAATACAACACGCAAATACATTCATAAAAGCTTCATCTAATAAACTGATCACCAAAGCAAACAATACATAAACTATTATAAACATGCATTAACTTACCTTTATGAAAAGAAGAGCCCAATTAATGTTATAATAAACATTGATTACTACCAATTAGTTATACTCCATTGAATTTATACTAACTTAATATACTTAAAAAATCTAACATAATTAAATTGAGGATTTGAGTCTTACATGGTAATAATGAACATATTTTAAAAGGATCTCCAGTATATCCTTCCGGACACATGCACAAAGGTCTGTGGTTGACCACACTGCAAAATGCTTGAGGCGCACAGCTACCCGGGCATGGGTTAGTACAGCGGTTATTAACGCACACCTTTGTGCGGTTACAATCTGCATTTAAAGTACATTCCGGACGGCAATTTGGCGGTAAACCCATGTACCCAGCTTGACAAGAACATACGGGTTGTTTGTCATAAGAACGGCAGACCGAATAAGGTCCGCACGGGTTCTTATCACATGGATTAGTGTTATTGTCCGTGCATTCTAGATGATACATGCATTTTTTGGTGTTAATAGCAAATATAAATTATTATTAGAAATATCCTAGGACTTGGAGCTTACTTTCTGTTTTGAGACACCGTTTCATAGGATCGCCACTAAAACCAGGTTTACAAACACATATGGCTTTATGATTAATTACCCGGCAATGGGAATTGGGTGCACATAAACCTGAACAAGGGTCTGTGCACCGTTGATTAACACAAGCTTTATTTGGTGCACATTCTGAGCTAATTACGCAGTCTGGTTTGCAGTTGGGTGGCGTACCAGTATAACCATACTGGCATAAACACACAACGCGGTTTTTGATTATTGAGCAATTACTGAATGGCCCACAGAGATTTGGCATGCAAAGCGAATTTGGCTTATGAGGAATATTAGGAGCTATAATTAGATTATTAGTATATTATTAGTAGAAATATTAAATTTTCACATAAATGTTTTCTAATGAAGTGTACCTCATGAAGTGATGAAGTATTACTTGTTTAATAAAAAAAAGTATATAAATATATAACATATATTTATTGCACATAACTGTACCTATATGTATAGATTATATACTTTTATAATAAAACAAATTATCCAGAAATTTTTTAGAACATAACTTTTATTTAATATTATTGTTTAGATTGAATATTAAGAAAACATTTATGAATGTAAAATTAATATTAACGACAGTGGGTTGGAAGAAGGCATGCTTACAATTTGATATCTTGTTGCATATTGTTAGTGGATTGCCGGTCATGCCATTTGGACAAAAGCAAATTGGACTATGGTTGACTACTCGACAACGAGCGCGCAGGCCACATGCATTTTTGCATGGATCGATGCATTCAGAATTAACACAAGCAAATGATCTAGGACATTCTGCGCTGAGTGTACAACGAGGACGACATCCAATGTATGGGTCCCCAAGGTAATTATTCTTACAAACGCAAGTTATATTGTTAATATTGCTCTTACATATTGCATTATGGCCGCAAGTAGTACCATAACAAGACAGGCGTGGTTTTCCTTTTGGTTTTGCTATTAATAATAATAATAACAATAACAACCTTAATTGTATAGTAGTCCAACTGTTGTAGTTCGTTTGTTAAGTAATTTTAATAACATTAATTATTGTTTTAACTATTAAATAACTATAAGCCATTAGTGGTATACCTACTAAGTTAATAAAATGATAATAGTAACTTATAACAAATGTTATTTGGTTTAAAAGTAAATCTTCATTACGACTATTTAGTTTTAATAAAAATATAAAAATAATAGTATGCTTTATAAAATCAAACATACCTGCGACAGCATTACATCCATTAAATGGATCACCTTGGTAGCCCGGCTCACATGAACACACTGGTTGATGGTTGATTACAGTACATCTAGAATTGAACCCACAAGATCCGGTACAAGGATCTCGACATTTACTCTGTAGACAAGCTAATCTAGTTGGACAGTCAGCGTGAATTAAGCATTCTGGTCGACAGTTTGGCGGAGCTCCGAGCATTCCCGGTAAACATGAACAGACAGGTCTACTATCATGTTCTCTACATTCAGAATTAGCACCACATGGTGACGGGAAACAAGGATCTTGGTAAACGACCGGAGGTGTTTTAGGTTCTGTAGAATTACATATGATTTATATAATCTCATTAAAAAGTTTTTAGTTATTTTAGTAAGACTTACCTTCTTGAATACACCTCACAAATGGATCACCCACGAATTTCGGTGGACAAGTACAAATGGGATTGTGATTAATTACATTACACCGAGCATGTAATCCACATGTTCCAGGACAAGGATCTGAACACTTTTGTGCTATACATGCCTTATCTACTGGACATTCAGCACTTACAACGCATTCTGGTCTACAAGAAGGAGGGGTTCCGATAAAACCTTGTATACATGAGCAAACTGCATTATAACCTTGAGTACGACACTGACTATTTGGACCACAAGGTGAAGGTTCACAAGGATTTTGGGGAGTTGGTGCTACAAAAAACACAAGATAACATTATATTTAAATTAATCCAAAAACGTAATGTTAAAATGTATTCAACTCACGATTAATTGGTTCTATTCTACAAGATTGGAATGGATCTCCGATATAACCGGGGAAACAAGTACAAACTGGTATATGACTAACAACATTACATTGAGCATTGAGACCACATACACCTGGGCATGGATCTCGACAATGGCTAGCCAAACATGCCAAGTTTGACATACAATCACTATTCATCAAACATTCTGGCCTACATCCACCAGAGTAAGGGTTACCGATATAAGGTGGTATGCAAACACATTTTGAGACTCCATTGTTTTCACTAAAACATTGAGTATTGTCACCACATGGTGAAGGGTTACATGGATCTCTTGGAATTTCAGGTAACACAGCTAAAATATAATTAAAAAATATGATTAGTTTATATTGATATATTATAGTAGTATTCTAAGTTTGAACTTGACAAAAAAAAAATAATAAATACAAAATAATGTGTATATTATATGTTATATAATACATAATACCATGACAGTTCTATCAAAAAAAAAAATATATTAATTGCAAATTAATGAAGAAATTAAGAAGTTCTTATTATACACTTTTAAATATTAAAAATTATATTTTATGAGTTTGCGTATAATATGTAAGTATCTCACTACCCTGAGTACTAACTACCTATCTAAATCTAATAAAATTAAATTATAAGCATAGTTTTTAAAATCACACTTACTTGGTGGAATTCTAGTACAGCTTATAAATGCATCTCCTTCGTAACCTGATACACAAGTACAGAATGGTGTATGATTAACAACATCACATTTAGCATTCAAGCCGCATGATTTTGTGCATGGGTTTTGACATTTTTCTTGAATGCATGCTTTGTTATGTGGACATTCATGATTCATTATACATTCTGGACGGCAATATGGTGGACTTCCAATATAATTTGGAGAACATGAACAAACTGGATGACCTTTTTTAATTTCACAAATCGAATTTGGACCACATGGTGTAGGTTCACAAGGATTTCCAGGTATTTTAGGAGTTTCTTCACCTATGGGTAATATGATTAATAATATAAATAGAACTTTAATAATAATGAAATATAAATTCATTAAAATTGAATACATACCAAGTGGTAAATGACAGCTAACGAAAGGATCACCCACGTGTCCTGGTGGACAACTACAGATCGGATTATGGCAAATAGAATAACAATTAGCTCCAACACCACATGTACCGGGACATGGGTCAACACATTTTTGATTTAAGCAAGCTTGAGTTTGAGGGCATTCCGCGCTTACTACACACTCTGGTTTACATACTGGTGGAGAGCCACGATATCCTGGTAAGCACGAACATGTTGCAAATCCTTGTTCCGAAATATGACAGCGACTGTTAGAACCGCACGGAGAGGGATCACAAGCATTATCTGCCGGGCCCATTATTGGTGGATAATCTAAAAAAAATATATGAGTAATTCATTAAGTTTTTACTCATTAACAGTAAATTATCAAATATTATTTACTTGGTCTAGCAGCTTGATAACAGCTAACAAAAGGATCTCCTGAATAATCTTGTTGACAGAAACATACAGGGAAATGATTAACTACTTGGCATTGCGCGTTAACGCCACATACACCCAAGCAAGGATTAACGCATTTGTTATTAATACAAGATAATGTTTGACCACAATCAGTATTTATAACACATTCGGGCCGACATGATAAGTACGGATTTCCATAATATTGTTGACGGCAAACACAAATAGTCATTCCATTTGATTTTTTGCATACAGCATTTGCTCCACATTGCACTTGATCGCATGAAATAGGCTTAGCCACATCATCTATAATAATAAATCATTAAATTATAGCTTTCAGAAACTTTAGGTTTTAAACTTATCACAGATTTTCCATACTTTGTTTTGGAGTAGTACAGTGTTCGTATGGATTTCCTATTAGTCCCGATTGGCATGAACAAATTGGATTATGATACACAACAGTACATTCAGCTTGAATACCACAGGATCCTGGACAAGGATCAATACATTTTTGTCCCACACAAGCTAAATTGAATGGGCAATCAGAGTTGTATAAACATTGAGGATGACATTGTGGATTCCATTGTTGTTCAATTGAAGAGCAGGGATCACACATTGCTATTTGACCACCATACACATTACATGAAGAATATGGATCACATGGTGAAGGCGCACAGGGCAGAGTCATATTTTTAAATGGCTCGTCATCAGCTAAAAATCCCAAACAGTTGTAAATTTTGAAAAATTGTTTAAATACAGTGGTTATGTACATTGTTTTACATAATAAAAATGTTTAATATATTAATTAATGTATTTAATTCTTACGTTTTGGTAAACATTGTAGGAATGGATCTCCAACAAAACCTTCTCTACAAGAACATAGCGGTGTATGATCTTTGCATTGGCATACTGCTCCAAGACCACAAATGTTTCCAAATGCACATGGATCTCGGCATCGGTAATCAATACAAGCTTGATGATTCTTACAATCAGTATTTAAAACACATTCAGGCTGACATCCAGTCTTAGGATCTCCAACGAAATTTGTTAGGCATGTACATACGGGTTTACGATTTTGAATTTTACATTCAGTATTAATTCCACATGGGTTAGGTAAACATGGATTTCCAGTTGGAGCTGGATCCAAACCTTAAATTAATAAACAAACAAACATTATTATTTAATATTTAATTATTAGATATAACACTATACTTTTTTTTTTATTAACTATAGTTTAACTTACTTATTTGATAACAGCGGAAGAATGGATTTCCAGTTAGTCCACGATTACATGTACATACAGGGCGATGTTTTTCAACTTTGCACGAAGCCCCTACTCCACATGCTCCTGGACATGGATTATTACATTTGTAGCCTAAGCATGATTTATCCCATGGACAATCATCATTAGTTGTACATTCCGGGCCTTTACATCCTGTTAGTGGGTCTCCACCCATGCCATCAGGACAGGAACATAACGGTGTTCCTATTTAATTGTTCAAAAGTTTTAACAAATCAATATAAAATGTTTACTGTAAATATAAAAATATTGATACACTACCTTCTGATGAAATTTTGCAGTATGCATATTTTCCACATGGATTTGGTTCACATGGACTCGTTGGAATTGAAATACAACCATCGTAAGGGTTTCCTGAATAGCCATTTTTACAATAACACTGTTCATTGCTTCCAGTTACATAACAATCTGCATTTGCACCACAAGGTCCCGGTTGACATAAGGTTTTCAGTGATTCTAAAAATAATTTTGTAGACAAATCCAAATTTAATTTTTGATTAGAAAATATTTTATGGTTCTTGAATACATACCACCACAAAACTTATACGGATTTCCAATTAATGGCTCTGGGCAGAAACATGATGGCTGCCTGTTTGGATCGCATACGGCGCTTTGTCCACATGGATTTGGTTCACATGGATTCTTCTTCTCTACACATCCACGTATTGTGTTTGGACTCTCGATATATCCTGGCAAGCATGTACATTTGGCAAATCCATTATCCAACAATGTACACTGAGTGTTAGGTCCACATGGAGAGGGTGTGCAAGGATTGGTTGGTAAACGGCAAGGTGTGATGGGAGGATCCCCTTCATACTCAGATAAACAGAAACAAACTGCAGAACCTTGAACTACTCTGCATCCAGAGTAGGGACCACATGGATTTGGTGAGCATTCATCACCTTCAGGAACTAAAATTAAAGATATTTTATAAAGTAACATGTAAATTTATATGTACGAGTGCTAAAAAAGTAGAATGATTTAATTGTATAATTTGTGATACACTAAAATTAATTAGTTTATAAACTCAATGATAAGTTTTTAATTTCAACTTACTGCAACTTTTAAATGGATTTCCTGTCATTCCTTTCGGACAGTAGCAAATTGGATTTCCATTGTCGATTTCGCAAAGAGCGTGCATTCCACAAGGATTTGGATCACATGGGTTTTGAGGTACTGAAATTGTATTAAATATACATCACCATTAATTTTGATTGTTGAGAGTAAAATTTAAAAAAAATAAAAGTACTATTTGTAATGCTAAAATAATGATATTCAGTAATTACCTTGACATCCTAATAATGGATTTCCATTGTAGCCTGCAAGACACTTGCATGTTGCCTTATGGTTTACGACGTCACAGACGGCATTTGGACCACATCGACATGGGTTAGAGCATTTTCCATTGATGCAAGCTTCGTTAGTTGAGCATTCATTATTCGACCGACATCCGGTGACTAATAATAAATTTAAGGTAAAAAATTGTAATGGATATTTATAATATAATTATGTGTGTAGCTGTAGCATGTACATATAATTTATTTTGAGAAATATCGTTAATATACCTGATGCACACGAGATGTATGGATTTCCTTGATGGCCTTGTAAACATCTGCATTCTGTACCGTGGTTTACAGGATAGCACTCAGCATTTTCACCACAAGAGTCTTCAGCACACGGATTTATACATACTCGATTTAATCGATCACATAATTTATCTGGCGGACAGTCTTCGTTGTATTGGCAAATGGGCTTGTACGATCGAACTACAAAATATTCAAGCGATGTAAATAAATCGTAACAATTCAAAGCAACGAATATGATCAATTATAATAATAATTAATGATCGTATAAAAACAATAGTTCAACCTTATAGAGCAGATTTACGTTAAAAAATATAGTGTAGACCGCACGATTAAAATGTGTAGGTGCAAGTGTATTTATTGTAAACCACATATTGGAGGATTAAAAAAAATTGATTTTTAACCTCAATCGATAGTAAGAAGAAATAAACTAATTTTAATTACTCTTCTATTTTTATAAGGAGTTAAAATATGTAGGATTTTTAGCTCCATATGTGTAATGGATTAAATGATATATAAAATATAAATTAATATGAATAATCTAGGGCTGATTTCACCTACACAGTTAATCACGATTAACTTCGATTAAGCTTCATCGGCTGATAACAGATATTCGGCCGATTAAACTCCGGTTAACTTAAACCGTGATTTAACCTAACCTAACCTAACCTAACTGTTGGTGAATTGGCCCTTAATCGATAAATTTAATGCGCTTGTAACACCTGTTATAATGTATAATTATAGCACTGTATTACCATATTACGTGAGAAATTTGTTTTTCGCAAAAATTTATACTTTTTATCTATCATACCGAATGTCCTATATATAGCATAGAATTTCTATAAACAGATTTTCATGCCATAAAATAAATAAATAAATGTTTAAAATAACTGACATTTTAGGATCATAAAACCTAATTAGGCGAGGTTAACGTTCCAATTATAAAGGAAAAAAATTGATACCCAAGTAAACTTAAGATTCAAAATTGTTATTGTTGTCGTGAACAAATTATACAGGTGTAAAATTAACAATTTTTGATCACCTTATAACAGTATACACACGATACTGTACAATAATATTCTTAACGTTATTAAATAGCACTCATAACAATAAAAATATTATTCAAATCGAATTAATAAATAGTCAGTACACCGGCCAATTATACCTCCATACAGTTATACTTAAATTAAAAAATAAATAAACATTAATTAATGACTTAATTTTGTAAGCTATATAGTACACTATAGGCTACAGTAACACAGTATTATTATAATTATTATTAAGTAACAGTGTAGTTTTTTAGATTATTTTGTTATAACTTTTAATAAATATAATAATAACAAAATAATCGTACAATAATAACTGTCAGTTATTATTGTATATTATTGGTATAATTATTGTGATTAATAATTTTGTTTAACCTGGGCAAGTTAAGTGGTAATTAAAATGTCTGTTTTCTGCGGATAGGGTAACTTGTATAGTTATTTAGAATTCGTTTTTGGTAGTTATTGACACCTAACCTGCTCCAAATCGAATAGCAATTTATCAAATAAATAATAATATGATAACATCAAGATTGATAATGAATCAGTATCAATATGACCGTACACAGATGTCTATATAGTACAGAAGTCTGTGTGACCGTATAATGGGAAAAAAATATCTCTAAAATTCATAATCAAACATTTTATATACGAAAAAACAAAATCACTTGGTGCCAATAACTATACGAGTTCCCCATACATAATAATATGGTACCCACCTAAAATAATACACTTCATGTCACGGACTAAGATATAGGTATATCTTAGTCCGTGCTTCATGTTCTTAACATCGAGGTATATAAACTATACTGGAGCGCGCACTGCGTATACCGTCCGTGTAATGAAAAACGAGCCGACGCGGTCGATCGTTTCCCCCACCACTGCAGGGCAACTTTAATGCCATGTACCGTATAATAGTACGACGTACCTACTACCTTTACGTGTATAATACATTATTTTTTTCAAAAATTATTAAATTAGGAATCAATAAAAATAATTTAATATCATTTAATTTTTTTAATAGCAAAACATTAAAAGTATTAGCCCTTAGTATAGTATACTCTAAAATATATTTGAGAAATACAATACTTATCATTACTACACATACAATATAAAATTAAAAATACTAATGAAAATATTTATTATTTCCTTTAAAAATATTAATAACATATAATTTAACATTCATTTACATAATATCATACTAAAATAAATTACATTCAAATTATAAATAAAAGTATAAAAACAAATCAAATACACTCAATGAGTAGTTTTAACAGTTTAAATATTGTTAAATAAAATTAATTTTGTTAATTTCTGCCTTAATGATGATTTATTTTTAAATACTTGTTTAGAGTTTATTTCTTTAACATAATGACGCATTCTTATATTAACAAAACATTGACTTACTGCCGTAAAGAGGCTATACTCATGACTTGGGGAACCAATATCAACAGAAATAGGATGTGAATTTGGGAAAAAAAAAGAGTACTTTTGTTCAATATATTTTTTTTTTGCTAACATTACAATGTTTTGTTTCACATTGTTATGTAATTTTTTATTTATAACAACAACAGCTTGAAAAGAGTTTTCAAGCTCTTGAATAATAAAAGTGATACACCTGATGAAACTATTTTCAATTTCCCCCGATTTACAAAAGATGTAAAGTTTGCATCTTTTACATAGCTATGATCTGTTAGATCACTTTTTACTAATATATCAATACAGTAAGGACACACAACTTTTTTGCAAATATTTTTTACAATATATCCAGCAATATAATCAAGTATTTCATTAGTATATTCAATTAACAGTATTACGATTATTAACGAAATAACCATTTTTGTTCATATAATATATTAGAATGTTTTTGACGAATTTTAATTTTAATAGAAAAATAAGGTTAAAGACAAAAAAACAGTACAAACAATTAACCAAGAGTTCAGAGCCATGAGAACATACTACGTAGTGGCCGGCGTGTGGTAATCTTTTGCCCTGCAGTGGTGGGGGAATCGTTCGAACGCGTCGGCTCGTTTTTTGATAACGAGTGCGCGCTCCAGTATAGTTTATATACCTCGATGGTTCTTAATAATGATACATTTGATATCAATTTGATCAAAACATAACGAGTGTCATCGATTGAAAAAATAAATCTCCCATTTGTAATGGTGCTAAACTATTGACCTATGAATTGAAATTTAATATGGATTACAACTGACCTGGCAGACATCCTACAAATCCGTTGCCTTGAAATCCTTCAACGCAGCTGCAATCGACTCCATGAGCGGTGTTAATGCACGCTGCGTTTTGAGCGCACGGGTTATGAACGTTGCACTGGTTTTGGCAAATTTGCTGGATGCAAACTTCGCCGTTCGTACAATCGTTGTTCGTAATGCAGGTTACTAAATTCGGAGCGGGGTAAAAATAAAAATAAAATATAGATAAGAAGAAGAATTTTCAACCGTTAAAATAAAAAAAATAAATAAAAATAAAGTTACACTGTACCCAAGAAGGGCGGTACAGTAGTGGGTATAAAGATTTATGTATATGTATTTACATGTATATGATAACCCCGCGTTTATATGATACAACGCCAACTATATTATAATATTATAGTACACGATACTATTTTACGTGAAAAAGTGTAGTCCCTATTTGTATACAATTAATATACATCTACAATCGTTGTAATATTATCATCTTACAACGATTGTGTCTTTTGTGTGTGTGTGTGTGTGTGTGTGTTTTTTTTGTACAATATTAATGATTAATTATATTACAGTTTTTATTATATTGGTAAATCGTGTTAATCATTAATTATGTTTAATCAACACATAAATAATATATATATATTTATATGAAAATGTGAAATTAGTGATGTGATTAGTCTTACACAGTTTCGGTTGATAACACTTTGTGGCCGGGTTGCCTTCGTATCCTGGGGGACACGAACAGACGGGTCTGTGTTTTATCACGTGGCATTTGGCATTTGGAGCACATACCGTCGAAAAACTACACAGATTCTCACACTGTCCCATGTAACAAGCTTCCGAGTCCAGACATTCCGTGTCGGATTCGCATACTTGAGGCTTTTTCGCGGTACCTGGTGCTGTATGGTATTATATATATATATGTACACGATTAGTGTTATTTACATATTATTGTTACATGCATTATTATTATTATTAACAAACATCGATCGTTAAACATTTAACGAATCAGAGTTTATCAGTATTTAACTCGGAGATTCCAGTTTCGATTAATTTGTTTTTTGGCTGTGTTAATTTTTAATTTTTATATGGTTATGTTTTTAACCTATTACATTTATTACTATTCGTAAGAAATGGTTAAGACTTTAGATACTTATAAATTATAATAATATTATATTATGTCGTGTGAAATGCACTGCAAGCACCGAGAAATTAATAAAAACTGGAAAATCTAATTTAAATTGACGAACATTTAAACTGTGATTCGATGGTATCTACTATACAGTGGCTATTTCATTAAGTCATGCTTCGATTACTATCATTTCTGTGAAAGTAACCTAATCCTAGAGTCCTCAGACATTAGAAACGTAAATACGTTTCACTTATTAAATTAATGACTTTTTTTGAACACACAGATCCTATGTAAACGCTAAAGCACTGACTGATTTGATTAATTTGTCGGACAGACTAATATTTACATGTGGTACGTGCACGTAAAAAAAAAAAAAAAAATGTTAACTTTTCTGTTCGATTCTTCTCTATTAACAACAACATGACAAACAAAATATAACAAAAATAACGATACACAATTCAGTTACGGACTCCGTATGCCTACATAATATACTAATTAAAATACAAAACATGCTGAAACACAAATTAATATAAAAGCGGAATTTTTTTTTTAGTATTATAAGTGTAAATTATACCTTTAAGACACTGTAACGTGATGATTCCGGGCGGACAGTTATTTACGCGGCTTTCACCTGTTGGTAGACACTTGGCTGCCAAACACTTGTGGCCGGCGTCACAATCGGTATCGTTCCAACACCATTTTCTGGTTGCTGTGGTTATTATTTGTTGTTGTACAGAGTAGCTGTTGTTTACATTCGTTTGGTTGTGGTTTGCGGGTATTGCAGTGACATCTTCGATTTCAATGCTCTTAGACGTTATAGTGTATTCGGTTGTAGTCAACATATTATTGTCATTATCATCATTCAAGTCCGTCGTGTCTAGGTCGGTATCGCGGGACGTCGATTCGTTGTTAAAAATATCAGTTTTGTAAGGGGATTCTGTTTGAAAATTAAACGTAGTCTCTTCGGTCGGTGGTAAAACGGTATATCTTTCCGTGGGGCTATCGGTGGTGTCGTTCGACTCGGACGTCACGTCCGTGTACCCTCGAATGGTCGTCAAGTCATACGTAATTTCGTGCGGATTTAAATTGCCCATACCACTCTTGTTCGAGCCCGTAAATGTCGTGGTCTCGTAATTATCCGTAAATGCGCTTGTAACTGCATCAGTTGTAGGGGCGATTGTATTATCAGCTGCAATAGTTGTCGAATCGTTTTCAGCGTTTAAGCTCGACACAAGCACTTCTATAGATGTCGTAAACAAATTCATCATAGTGGTGGCGTCGTTTATTGATATGATCGAAGACGTCTCGACTTGGTCTCCGTTGTCTGTCTTTTCCAACGGCTCCAGGGGGGGAATATCTGTCATAGCAGCATCACCATTTTCGGGTGCGTTAGATTCTGTCGGAGAGTTGAATAAATTGTTTTCTACGCTTTTCTCGGTATCGATTTCATTGTAAGATGCTTTCGGAGTGGTACTCTTAGTTTTAATCCAATCAGCCATGGTCATAATTGTGACCGTGGTGGTTTCTCGATTTGCGTATTTGAAATCCGTATCTTTAGATGTAAATATCGCACCGTCCGTTGCCATAGGTGTATTTGTTGCAGTGGTCGTTTCGAACAACGTATTATTTTCTGAATCGAACGTCATAATTTGTTGTGTTGTTCGATCGCCGCCAGGTAAAATGTTATCGGTCCGGTCTCCATAAATTTGTGTTGAAACAATAGATTCGTTTTTTCTTTCAAAATCTGATCCAGTGGTTACCTCATTATCCATTGTATACATTTCGTTCGCGGAGATTGTATCATCTCTATCCGCGGCGCTAGTCGATGTTATAACACTTTCATTTTTCCCACGTGTACGAACGGTCGTTGTTAAATCATATTCCATACTATTAGCCACGTCGTTGTTTACAGAATCGTTTGTTACACGGTGGTTTTCCGAAAACATTTCTTTCGAAACAATAGTTTCGGTAGGTTCTGTGTTTAATACGGTATCTTCCACACCGTTAATTACTGTCGTAAGACGGGTTCCCACAACGATTGTAGATTCGCTTACGGGCGGTACACTTCCCGTACCACCGAACAGCGTTTCCCATTTTTTTATAACGCCTTGGGACACATTACTATCGTTTATATTTACTGATCCGGGAATTATTGACGACTCGACGATCTGTGTAGTGAATTCGGGAGCACTAGTCATCACTTCGTCACCTGTACCAGTCGAATTAGATGGATTCTCGACAGATTTGTTCGTCACTTGATGATTGAGTGCCGTCACGGTGGTTGCCGCTTCACTATCATCTGTTGGTATAGGTCGTTGAGTGTTTTCATCGGTTGAGTTATTGGACATGACGCTGTTCACGGTTGTGTACTCATCAATTTGATTATTCGAAGTTATGATTTCTGCATTTGAACTAATTGTCATCGGGCGGAGAGTCGTTTCTATTGTACTAACAAGTGTAAAATCGTTTTCTATATTTTTGTCGGTCGCATCAACCATCGTCGTTTTTATGTCTTTGTTTATTAAATTTATAGATGTCGTACCAATGCCATTAATTATTATCTTGGAAATAGTTGTAGTTTCATCGTCTAGTGTTTTATCGGTTTCGATTCTTACGTCTCCGATAGTAGTCACTGAAGGTGTAGTAGGATTATTAGTTGTATAGAGAAGTTCTTTTTCTTCATCAAATGTGTCAGTTGTATTTCTGGTAAAAACTTCAACAATTTTTTCTGAACTTTTTGTGGTGAGTTCTTGATCGTTTTCATTAAATTGATCAGTAACCTCGTTTGAATAATTATAATTAGTTGATGACATGTAAGACTTTGTTGTTGTTTCTTCATTCTCATTTAAGTCAGTTGTGTCATTAAATTTGGAGTTTACAAATTCGTTTAATGTAACTAATGTTGTACCTTCTTGATTGTCTATTGTACTTATAGACACAGAGAGTAAATTTGACGTAGTAGTTTCTAAAAATGAAGAAATATTATTAACTTGTAAATTGTTATCTAATTCAGTGGGAACTGTAGTCGTGTTAAATTTTACAACACTAGGACTTTCTGTTGAGTTCTTTTCTACCTTGTTTTTATCATATTCTGAACTTATTTCCGAGTATGACTTCGTTGTACCTTGTACATTATTTTTTATTTCATTTTGTTCATCGAAATAAATTGTTCTAGAATTCATAGATTCGTTTGAAGTTTCGGTCGTCAATTCAGGATTTTTAATCATACTTTGAACAGTGCTGGGTACAAAATTTGTCGTCAATTCAGGATTTTCATTCATACTTTGAACAGTACTGGGTATAACATTTGTCGTCAATTCAGGATCTTCGTTCATACTTTGAACAGTACTGGGTATAACATTTGTCGTCAATTCAGGATTTTCGTTCATACTTTGAACAGTACTGGGAATAATATTTGTCGTCAATTCAGGATTTTCGCTTATACTTTGAACAGTACTGGGTATAACATTTGTCGTCAATTCAGGATTTTCGCTTATACTTTGAACAGTACTGGGAATAACATTTGTCGTCAATTCAGGATTTTCGCTTATACTTTGAACAGTAATGGGTATAACATTTGTCGTCAATTCAGGATTTTCGTTCATACTTTGAACAGTACTGGGAATAACATTTGTCGTCAATTCAGGATTTTCGCTTATACTTTGAACAGTACTGGGTATAACATTTGTCGTCAATTCAGGATTTTCGCTTATACTTTGAACAGTACTGGGTATAACATTTGTAGTCATTTCAGTATTTTCGCTCAAACTTTGAACAGTACTGGGTATAACATTTGTCGTCAATTCAGGATTTTCGTTCATACTTTGAATAGTACTGGGTATAACATTTGTCGTCAATTTAGGATTTTCGTTCATACTTTGAACAGTACTGGGAATAACATTCGTCGTCAATTCAGGATTTTCGCTTATACTTTGAACAGTATTGGGTATAACATTTGTCGTCAATTCAGGATTTTCGTTCATACTTTGAATAGTACTGGGTATAACATTTGTCGTCAATTTAGGATTTTCGTTCATACTTTGAACAGTACTGGGAATAACATTCGTCGTCAATTCAGGATTTTCGCTTATACTTTGAACAGTACTGGGTATAACATTTGTCGTCAATTCAGGATTTTCGCTTATACTTTGAACAGTACTGGGTATAACATTTGTCGTCAATTCAGGATTTTCGCTCATACTTTGAACTGTATTTGGTATAAAATTTGAACTTGATGTAGTTTCCAAAACCGTCTGTTCAGTATCGACATTTAAAATGTCGTAGGAAGTTTGGGAGATTATGAGGTTGGTTGAGCTCTCTGTAGATTCATTTTTATTGAATAATAATATACTTTTATCAGTACTTGTGTATATGTTATCACGATCAAACATTGTTGAAGTAATTTGCACATTATTATTGTCATCATTATTAAGCACTGTAAGATTTTTCTTATTATTTTTCGTCGTAATTTCTATCATATTTGAATCGTAACCCCGAATCACATTTTGGGTAGTCGTGTCTATTTCATTTATCAAGTCATCGGTAGGACTAGTTTTAAAATCATCAGGTGTTGTAGTTGAGAAAAATGTATTAGACATACCGATTGTGGTCGTTCCTGTTAAATCTTCCGAAAACTCGGTCGTTTGAATATTTATTTTATTTTGTGACTTAGTGACACTTTCTGTGATTGAATTTGGGTCAAAATCAACGTCTGGTGTGTCAGTGGTCAACGATAAATTGTCGTCAAAATTGCCATTGAATGATTTTGTTTCATTTTCTATAGGATTTAAGGTAGTTGTCTTAAATGAATCTTGCTTCATTTGAGTTGAACCCATAGTGTTTTCGGTTGTTGATGTCTGAGCATTGATTGTAGTGGTTTTTAAAGTGGATTCTTTGCCTTCGTTAATAGTTATCGCTTCTACATTATTATCATACATTGTTGTCGTTTCAACTGTTTTTGGTACAAAATATTGAGTCGACATTTCAATGAAATTATCACCGTTGCTTATTAAATTAGGAACAGTGCTTATTTTAAGGTTAGGTTCTGATGTTACGCGATCAGATTTATTTGTTATTTCATCTGTTTTTGATACAGAATGCTGAGTCGAGTTTTCACCAACATTATCACTGTTATTTATTAAATTAGAAACAGTACTTATTTGAAAGTTGGATTCTGATGTTACGCTCTGAAGTATATTTGTATTTGTTTCATTGTCTTCATTTATATCAGTTGTAGTTATAGGTGTCGTTTTTTCATCGGAATCGATCCAAACAGTGCTACTAGTCGAACTAACATTGTTTTCGTTTTCTTGTCGTTCGTCCGGTAGATTGAACGCGTTTTTGGTAGTGTACTCATCAAATAATTTTATCGAAGGATCAGTAATTGTAACGCTATCAGCTGTTATCGGCTCAATCGTAGTTATATCGGGCATATCGTTTTTATCGAAATGTAAGTCGTCTCCTTTAAACATTTTCGTCGGTATCGAAGAACTTATTATTATTTGATTAATCTCGGTTGTCAAAAATTGGTCAGCTTTATCGGTTGTATCGAAATCAGGGATGGTAGTAATCTCGGTCAATACATTAGAGTTTTCTGTGCTTAGGCTAGATATTAGTACATCGTTAGTTGTGACGTTTGTAACAGTGGATTGCGGTAACGAGTCTACTGTGTTTTGTACAAAAGCGGGAACAACACACATTAAAAACAAAAATAGTTAGTAACTGTTAAAAGATTAAAAGTAGACTTCAAAGTGAAAGCTTTTTACATAAAAACACAATAATATCGTCACATTTCATTTGTTCGTCAAAATTACGAAATTGTATTTGACACAAACGAAAGTTAACAATATATTTTGTTTCGGAACTACATAAGCGTCTGTTCTCTCTGTTATGACATAGAGGCGCTTTTGCAGTATTTAAAAAAAAAAAATTATTATTAATTTCATTCAGACTTGTGGAGGTTTCTCCGTTGTTAATAAAGCTCTGGTCACCATTGCATGCACACGACAGTTAAATAAACAAGCGAATAATGTGTATAATAATCTGAGTGTATACTGTATATGGGTGTATATGTGTGTGTGTGTGTGTGTGTGTAGTATCACTGCAGGTATCAGTGGTATAAATAATGATGAAATACATAAATGTCTATAACTAATAAAATTGACAGCATTAACCTACTATAATATAATATAATATATTATTTATGATAATTTTATGTAATATGATAAAAAAAAATATATTCTACATAAGTTAGATACACATTCTTAATGATCATTAATGTGAAGGAGCGAAATGCATAAATTTAGTAGGTACACGAAATTTCGTGCATATGGTGAAATCGACTAAATAATACTAATAACTATAATATTATTACAATGGTACTACAGTTGTATAACAATACGAAAATAAACAAAATCCTCTCGTCATAGCGGAGATTTATTGATTCGATATGATATTTTATATTAAATTTATTATTATAATAGTAATATACTACATTTATCGTGTATGTTTGACATGTGTAAAGCATTTAATAGAAAACAAGAATATTGATAACTCATGCAGCCCGTTCTACAATAATTTCTACTCGACAACCGATTAGGTACGTATGATATCTAAAGTTGTTCAAAACTAAACAATTCTACTTACTGTATTATAATTCGTATAAATTTAAATACACATGCGATATAGTCCTCTGTATATTTTTGTATTTTATATGATATATGTAACTATAATAGTATAATATAATGTTCCCCATGCTGCAGTCTGTGCTTTTGCGTCACATTCCCCCCAAAATTCCCACAAGTCTATCCATCATTGAACTTTTTTTACAATTACATCAACGACATTCAAAATGTTACTTTCGAGTTTCGAGTGTATAAAATACAAACAAACGCTTATTTTACGTATTCACTTTCGTTAAAAATAACATTGAGATGTGCTGCTATCTGACACGTATATTCACATAGTATTTACATGATAATAGAAATGACGAATATTTATTTACATAACAGAACTATAGGAAATATAAATACTTTGTACACATAGGGTCAAGCAAATTAAAGAGAAAGTAAAGAAGCAAGTATCGTCAATGATGTTTCGATGCTTGAATCTTCGTCAGATGTCTTGAAGTCGTAATTATATAAGGAAGGATTGAGGAGGTTTTAAAAAACAGCAACACATCTATTATCTAAATATTATCCCATTTGGATTAAATAATCGCACATACCTTTAGCGCAAGCTCCAGTTACCGTATCACATGGTACACCGGTCGGGCAATGGTCGCAACCCGGGATCGCAACAGGATCTTGACCTATAAGTGAAAAAAAAATGATAACATTTAGAATGAAGTAAACATTTTTTGAAAATAATTTTGAACATATTGTTTGGCCGTTCTACAGAGATAGAATATCTTACTCGATAGCACACAGTTGCATCCATCACACACGTAACCGTTTTGACAGTGTACGTTCTTTTGGCATTGGCACACTATAAGTATATAATTTAAATAATTTAAATTGTGGTTTTTATACTGCTATTAAAAAAAAAAAAGTTAAATAAAATTTAAGCGGAAGACCATGCCATGTGTACTTTATGAGTTTCATAATATTATCATATAATGTATTTCTACAAACATATTTACATATATATCTGGTACCTACACTGCACGTAAATATAGTGCACAAAGCTAAACACCGCGTAAAATTGAATTTAGTGAATGGAAATTTGGTGGTTAAAGTACCTACGTATTTCAATATGACATTATGTTATGATGTATGAAGAAAATCGAAAACACAAATATAAGGCAATCCTGACCAACATTAAAAAAATAAACCGAGTTATTTCGTTGTGTTTATTGAGCGTTACACCCGCGACAAAAATAATATAATGATTGTGAAATCATGGAATATTCAGTTCGCTAACCAAATAATGTTGGCAGTTATTTTGTTCTCGATAAAAAATATAAACATTAAATCTAAATAATAATTGTATTATAATAAATTAAATTAGAGAGTATGAAAATGAAAAAAAAAAAAAACGTGACCATAATCATTTCGGAAATCTCGTCTTGTAAATTATCTGATTGGCAGTTTGACCTTGGAAATATGACCTATATAACGGGTGGGTGATATATTGATGATGTTTATAGTCTGATTTCAGAGCAATAAATAATAATTATAATAATAATAATAAAATATTTTAGAAATGTTTCGTAAATTTAACTAAATGTATATACAGGTCAAGGCGCATTATAAGGAGACGATAATATAATTATCTGCAATTAGCATACAATAACAGCAGCGATTGCGGCACTTACGTTTCAAGCAAACTGGTTGATGGTCTTGTACTTGACAGTCTTGTTGTGAATTACATGGATTGTTGTGTTGACACGGGTTTTGGCACTGATTCGCAATACATGCTTGTCCGGACGGACATTCGTAGTGCGCGGAGCATCCGACCACTGAAATCGCCAAACGACATTGAGGGTTTATAAATCGAGTTAAGTACAGTTTAAGGGACGCAAGACATAGATCGGATTCGATCGATTTTCCGGCCTTGTCGACGATAATAAATTGTTATCGTAATAAATAAGCGTTTTGTTAGCGCGTCAGACGTCATTATAAAGTGTTGCGGACATGATTCTAAAAACGAGTCTTAGAGTCATGTTTGCAATAGTAAACAAATAATATATAGTCTGCGCAGTATTAAAACCGTCACCGTCAAACAAGCTTATTCAATAATATAATTTAAAGTATAACAATAACACCAATCACCATTTCGTCGAGCCGATACTCTTGAACTCAACAGTAACACGAAAACAACATGGTAAAACAATAATCGCTTAAGTAATACCATGACACAACAGAGTCAAACACATCATTTTTACCACATCAAACACTTTACGGGCTGTAACGCGTTCGATGCGAAAACGTGGCCGAAAGCGATATAATTATAATAATATTATCACAACGATTCGACCGAACAGTTCAAGTAACAATAATTGTACACTGCGACGGTTTAAAGTGAAGCAACAGAGAGCGCTAAGAAGAAATGTATACAGGTATCGTCTCCGGCGAACGTTCCCGGCGCACTGCAGCAGAGCGTATACAGGTACAACAGTGTAGGTGGGCGACATGCATATATTCCTCCGGAGCGCTGAAATAAAAGAAAAAAATTACAGCGGCCAATCAAATGTCGATCGCGCGCGCGCGCGCCTCGGACTATGCGAACCGCCGCGGAACGTTACCTGTCGCGCGGGCAAAAGGCGAAAGGGAGGGGGGGGAGAGATAGACGTCAATTATTATTATTATTAAAAAATAATGCGAAAGATATAAAAACGCTTCGGCGGCCGCGGCGGTGGGGATCGGTGGCCCGCCGAGCGAAGATCTTCGCCGCCGCGAGCAGCTCGCAAATGTAAATAGCCGGCGTGTGGATTTAAACCTGCGCCGGCCGCGCTCCGACATCACAACAATAATAATAATAATAAAGATACCAAGGTATATATGTATATTATGTATTATGTGGTGGAACGACTTTACTTTCACGGCGGCTTAACCAACCGTAGCGCGGTCGTAAAACTGTGTGTGTGTGTGTGTGTATTGCTATTCTCTTTCTGAATATATTATAAAATATGTATATATTATGCTATACGTTTGCGCGCATTTTACTTTGCATAAATTATTACTATTTTCGCCGTATAGTTCGCAGCCCCAGTGAAAGTTATTATATTCCACAATTAGTGAGTCAGAGCCGTATAGGTATACGTCTGGTCTAAAATTTTTTTTCTACGTTCGTGATGATGTTTATTTTAATATCTGTGGGAAGGACGCTCGTCGGGCGTGTAAGCGGTGAAATAATACTATCGTTTGTATGTACCGCGGCGGTCTTCCACGACCTTACGCAATCTTCCGCGGCGGCGTTCCATTGTTGAGTGTACACATTATTAGCTATAAAAGAGCTTTTTAATTTTTCGCGGTAAAATTTGTTTTCGATTTTATTTTTGCACACAAACCGCGGATGACGACTCCGCCGATAGTGTTTGTAGGTCGCCGCGCAAGCTATTTATTATAACATTATAACACTATTATTATATATAGTATTTACTCGTATGTATACACAGACCTATATATGTATACGTGAATAATAAATTATGTACTATACATATAATGTATATAGGTACTATAGGTATGTAGCCCGTGCCGGAGACTTCGACGCACAGCACCTCATGCACGACATTTTAATCACGAGTGTCAAAGCGGAACATGCACGCGGTCGCAACGACGTTTTTAAGTCGTGTTTATAAGTGCGTACAGGTGTGGAGAATGCGCGTGCTCGCGGTTCAAAAGGCGCGGAAACCACTCGTGAAAAAAATAATACAAATTAATTATAATCTAAAATACTAAATATAATAAATGATCTTATAAAATATAGAAGGCACGCGTCACGCCGTCGTCGCGCATGCGCCGAACGAGGTTCGACCGTACATTTATTAAAGTATAATCGTACAGACAATATAAAATAATACAATATTATGTATCGCCTAAGTAGCAGACTCTACAAATGGACGCGGACGACGACGGGCAGTGAGCTGCGCGTGGCAAAAGCGCGAAAGAGGAGATCGTGGGGGGGGGAGTGGAGATCGAGTGTATAGTGGTGGCGCTTACACGCCACTCTCAAAACATCTGAAATTTGCTCATTCATG